GACAGTACCGTACGAACAGTAAGTGTATATTTTGTGTCTCTCGTGGATTCTTGGAATAAATATAAGACAATAATAAAAGGAACCGGTTGATATACTTATTTAAAATCGGGCGTCCTACTATTAGTTGTCTAACCAATTATAATCTACTAGCTGTAATATAGATAATAAATTTGCTATGATTGGTATAACCATCAGTGGCCGAATTAATTATTGATCTACAATAAAATAATAAAAATTGAATTTTTTTATTTATATTGGTAGCCTCCCACGAGAAAAAAAAGAGCGATTGTTTAAAGTACATAACAACAAATAAAAATGAACACAACACAACACACTGAACAACTCGATATTGAAATTAAAAATTTAATTAATAATAAATGGACTTTTCTTGATAAATCTTGGCCTGAAATGCAACATAGATTTAATCATAGAACAGCTATTAAAGATATGAAGAATAATACAATAAATGATATAAAGGATGTATTACTTAATAGATTTGGATTTATACCTGTATTTTATTTTCTTACAGTTTTATATAGGAATATTGAATATCCAGGGCCATACTGCGAGATTGAAAAAGGACTTGCATTATTATATCATATGGTATCAGGTATATCAGGAAAGGATATGCATACTGTTATGCCATATGCAACATTTTATGATTTATATAAGCGGTTCTGGATTACTAACTATAATGAATTGAATAAAAAGGTAAAACAAGATCTAGATAGTATGTTCTCATCACCACATATTCGCATTCTATCAGCAATAATAAACAATCTAGATGGTTTTAAGAATGTTACACTATTTATTGATGGACATGACAGTAAAATAAAGTATTATAAACCAAATGAGTCACATTCACAATTATATTCATATAAATTAAAAGGGCCAGCTGTACGTACACAAGTTATACAGGATATGAATGAAATAATTACACATGTTTCAGTATCTGAAAAATGTGCTATCGGAAATGATGGTACTATGTTTATTAATATGAAACTATATAAAAAAATAAGTGAGGCAGATTGTTTAGGAATGGATGGTGGATATAACTTATTTATACAAAAGTTTAAAGATAATGCGACAGATGCTGGATATAGTTTTTATGACCGTAATTTTTTACATCCCATAAGAAAAGAACCAGGACAAAAGTTAACAATCAATGAGACATACTTTAATAACAAGTTTGGATCATTTCGTTCAGCAATAGAAGCACAGTTCTCTATGTTAGGCTCTAAATTTGAACGATTTAATAATAATCGTGCAGCATTGCGAATAACTGATATAAGATATTATAATATTCAGTTTCGTGTTGCTTGTATTCTTACTAATATATGGCGATTTGTAAATAAGTATAATATAGAGATACAACTACATCATAAATTATGGTATGGAAAAGATTTTGAATTCCCAAGTAAGAAAAACAAACTTGACTTAGTATTTTCAAATGAGCAAAAAGTAAATACTGAATATAACGAAATGGTTGACATGCAGCAGAAATTTCTACAGCTTAACATTAATCAATCAATAGATATGGCTATAGATAGTGAGGATGAAACTGAAAATAATACATCTAAACGCAAGAGAAAAAATCAAAGAGAACAGAGAAATATAGAATATAGTAATTCATATGAAATTGAGAAGATTGTAGGACATGTGTATACTGATAATAAGTACATATTTGAGGTTAAGTGGGTTGGATATAGTGTAAAGGATAATAGTTGGTTAACAGTTGATAAGTTTAATTCCCAGGAAATGCTACATGAATATATGGCCACACATGGTATTCAGCTCTAAATTAATTTCTTACTTATTTGCTTATTAAAAAATCTCATATTGAAACTGACCGCATCAACCTTTTGTTTACTTGCCCAATTATATTTATGTTTTATGCATTCATTAGTTATACTTGTACTTATATTAGTATCTGTTGATTTATTTTTGACATCAGTTTCTTTTGTCTGTGTATTTGAAATATGAGGAATTTCAAATTGCTGAGAATTTAAATTTTTGGTAACTATTTCTTTTGGAGGTAATAGGGGTATTCAATTACAAAAATGAAAATTTCGTATGAAATGAAAAATCTCGCCATTACTAAATACAGTTTTCATTTCAAACCCAATAATTGGGGTACTCAATTACTCAATTTTTTTTTCATTTTCATTCAACTTCCCCTCTTTCAATTCTTTCATCAAAACATTCATCTTTGTTCCCAAGTATGCCCAGATACAGTGAAAAACAGCAAAACGAACGTGTCCTGGAAGTTTTGGCATGCTTACAGCAAATCGAGAGTACGATGGCCATGATTGACGATGATGAAGATATGTCAGGCGACTCTGATAGCGATAAAGATGATGTCTTGCTATCGCATAATTTACTGTTGTCTATTCCTTGGACGGAAGTGTATAACGCAAGTTGCAGTCGACGATACCTTGATAGAGCACAAAAAGTCGCTCGTGCTCCTAGTAGGATTCACTGGCTTTTCAACGAGTTGGACGAACAACGATTTATCCAAGAAGTTAGGATGTCTAAAGATGCATTCTTCTTAATTCTCGATTTGATTAAAGAGAATGCGATCTTTGTTTCAAGTGGCCAGAAACCACAAAAACCTGTATTTGTGCAACTGCTTGTCGCTTTGCGCCGTCTTGGTTTCTACGGAAATGGTGCAAGCATCGGGAATGTTGCCAGATACTTTGGGATTGGAGGTACTACGCGTAATAAACTTAGTTATATACATACGTCTTTACACTTGAGACTTATGTAATGTACAGTGAACCCCCGCTTTTTGCACCCCCGTTTATTGCAGATCCCCACTTATTGCAACTTTTTCGAGCAGATTCCCGCTCAACACTTAGTAAAATTGCAGATTCCTCGGTTTTTGCAGATTGCAACTTGGAAATCAGGACCTGCAATTTCCCGCTTCAGCCTTATATATTGTATATTAATCTCAAACTTCAGAGACAGTGAGACTCGAACCAGTGACAAAAGAGATACACTATTGTATTCTATTATTTAAGAGCTTTTAAACCAAATAAGGAAAGATGTGATTGCCGACTTATCGATCCCACTTGTGTAACATATTCACATTTTGCAGTTCCTCAGATTTTGCAACTTTTTTGACGGTATTCCCGCTGTTGCAAAAAGCGGGGGTTCACTGTAATACGTTTTAGAGGGCTCTGTGATCAACTACACAAATAGGTGTATTGAGGCGATCTTGGCTCTTGAAAGTACCTATATCCAATGGCCTAACGATGCAGAAAAGTCCTTATCTAAAAGTGATATAAGTCGTGGATCTGCTTTTGAAGATTGCATCGGTATCATTGACGGCACTCTTTTTCCGTTTGCAAGCGAGCCTTGCATTCAGCCGCAAAGCTACTTCTCGTATAAAAAGAAGTATGGTATTTCTGGCATTTTGGTATGCAATAGCCAGAGACAAATCATATATTCATACATCGGCTGGCCAGGCTCTACTCACGACAGCCGCATCTTCAGCAACAGCGCTCTCCGCCATCATCCTGAGCAATACTTCAAGCCTGAAGAGTACCTTCTGGGTGACTCAGGTTTTGAGTGTTTGCCAAACGTTATTGTGCCATTCAAAAAGCCACGCAACGGCAGCTTGACAGATGAACAAGAAATGTTCAATTACAAACTTAGCTCGGTAAGAAAATATACAGTATGGTGTGCTGTAAGGATAGAATTGTATTCACTTAACATTGTTCAAAATCAAAGGTACGAATTCGGATTGAACATACAATTGGAATGCTGAAGATGCGCTTCCAAAGCCTTCGGGAACTACCGCTGCGCTTAATAGATGAAGATGATGCGAAGCCAATAATCCATTGGATTAAGGCTTGTTTTGTTCTACACAACATCATAACTAAACACAATCTCGAAGACATGTACGACGACGAAGAACTTCGGGCTGTCGTTGATGATCAGCAAGAACAACAGCCTGAAAACAATGTGAATTGGACAATCCCGAATAGTGATAGACTGACACCAGGAAAGGCCAGAAGGGAAGAGCTCTTCCATCATGTTATTAACGATCACAATTAGTCATTATATCTGTCATCATGTATCGTATATTTATTCTATTATTACTATCATTATTCTCTTTATCGGATCAACATCAATCTTCTACTACTACTACTTCTTCCATCTCCTCCTCGTCACTGTCATTATCGCTGTCATCATTGTCGTCCTGATCATTCTTGTCTACAATTTCCTGCAGCTCGCTTGCCAACGACTCATCATCATCGTCATTACCCGAGTTTGTCTTGTCATCATCATCGTCAAATACGGCTCTTTGAATTGCGTTGTTGGTGAAACCAGCTTCTACCATTATCTTTATCATTGCTGTTTTGGATTCACGATCCTGGATCCGTAATTTCTTTGCCTCTAATTGCTGCCGTTGACGATCCATTCGCTCTTGTTGTAGTTGTTGATAGATATCCAGTTTGCGTTGATGCTCAAAAACATCCATTTTGTGCTTTGCGAGTTCTCGCTTGAGCTTCAAACTTTCTTCCATAAACCGCTTGTTGTCATTATTTATATCCCAGAGTGTTGCTGCTAAGGGGTTCTTTCTTATTTTTTCAGATTTTTTGATTTGAGCACGAGTCGGTTGTGACGACGAGGCTTGTTGGGGCTGCTGTTGCTGTGAGTTGCCCTCATCAATGTCTTCTCCGTCATCGTCGTCGTATATGTTGTCAAGGTCATTGTCGAAGCTTGGACGGTGTTGAGTTGGTAAAGAGGGTAATGGTGATGATGAAGATGGCGGTGAAGATGTTGTTATGGCTTCACCTGAGCGGTTTGTTGGCATGTGCAGAGTTTCTGAAAGATAGAGGGGGCGACTGGCGTGGTTATCGCTCATTATCTGTTCCAACTCGTAATAGTACTTGAAGGCGGCTTTAACGTTTTTGTCTATATATTTTGCATATAATGTGTTAGCTTCAAACAAGTATACATTGGTCGATAGTTTGTTCTTATCATTTTGATTACTACATACCGGTCTTGTCTTCATCGGCTCCATTCTCGTCATTGTCAATAGCCCCATCACCATAAGGTCCGCCGCCACCGGTCTCTCCAATCAAGTCATTGGCTTTGTTAAAGTTGGTGATCCATTCGTTTAACTTGCACGAAACATGGTGTGCTGTTCGATGGGTTAAACCATGACTGTGCAGCTCTCAGACGATCTCGGTAAGTATCACCTTTCTAGTGTCCTTCGAATTGCCCTTGCTTCCTTGCGTCTTCGAATTCTTGGCCGTATTGCCGCCAGTACCTCGGTAGCGTTGATAGTTACCAGGTTCAAGCAACCATTCCAACAGTATTGTCTCGGATGACTTGCTGTTAGGGGTAACGTTATCTTTACTCCATGATTTAGTCTTCTTCTTCTCTGTTATATTAAATGCAATGTTTGTAAATATTAGAACTATACACAGCATGACAGCAATATGACAGAAAAAATCATGTTACCTGAAGACTCGTCCGCATTAGATGGATTTCCCTTGCGCCGCTTGTTCTTGTTTCCATCGTTCGACATTGAACTGCTGTTACTGTTAAATGTAAATAATTGCGATTCCGGGATGACAGTCGCCGAGGATGGTTCAGTGATGGAGTTTTCGCGTTGCATGATGTTGATGTATAAGGCCAGAAAAATCAGAAGAGTATGTTTTTGCAAGATATTAAAAAGATATCGTTTATTTACGCGACAAACAAAGTATTTATATGTTTGCTAACCCTGCTGCGGATCCGATATTTTGCTAAGGTATGATGTAATTGTCGACTGCGCATACTTTGCTAAGCTATGATGTAATGGTCGACTGCGCATACTTTGCTAAGCTATGATGTAATGGTCGACTGCGCAACACAAAATAAAATGGCTGCGGTAAAGGTGTCACGAAATACCAGAAAAGGGAATGGGTTCATTCTCATTTTCATTTTTTGATTTCCTATACGTTCTTATCCGAATGAAAACTGAAAATGAAAATGAAAATTTTCGAGTACCATTTTTAGAAACCGTTCGGATTTTCATTTCATACGAAATTTTCATTTTTGTAATTGAATACCCCTAATGTATCGGAGTTTTCATAGTATTTCTCATATTTATGTAATTTTTCCTTTAGTTTTATATTTTCCGTTAATGTTTTCTCTTTACTTTTTTTAACAGAAATAATATCTCTTTCAATATTCGCTTTATTTAAATTATTTTTAGATGTCTCTTTTTGTTTTTTTGATGCTTTACGTTTTATTAATAATTTATTCTTTTTAATATTATAATTTATATCATATTTTTTATAAATCGTTTCTTCAGCAAATTCTTTAATATTTATATTATTATTATTTAAAAACATACTTAATTTATTGGTATCAAGGACGATTTTGTCATTGTTGAATGTGATTGTATTGTTCATGTTCAATATTATGAGGTGTTATTTTTAGATAATAAAAATAATTCAATTTTTATTTTTTCAAAATTTTTAAATATATGCATGCTAAGACATATATAATTTGATTTTATGAAAATTATTTTGGTTACACCAACTTATTGTGGCTATTTGTTTAATTAGTACTAATAAACCAGAGCATAACCATTATAACCTCAACCGGTCCCCTCGACAATGTTAGTGTGGTTCACTCATTCATATTAAACATTTCCGATCCCTGTTGGAGCAAAGTCTTTAAACCATCTCAATTAACCAAGATCCATAACGACTACGTGAAAGAGTTGCCACCTGTACAACAAGAAATGAAGACTTTTCATAAAAACTTCAAGAACATGGTACGTTGTTTATAATTGTATTGAACAACAAAAGAAAACAAGTAACAAGAGCATTGATTTGATCGATATATAGACTGATGTGGAACAACTTTGGAACATTGCTGAAGAGCATCGATTTCATCCAATCGCCAAATTTGATCTCGACTGGTCTCGACGTTCGATCCTCGATATCCTTTCCTCTTATCGTTGGGGCAGCGTTCAGCGTGCAGCAGTGTCAGGCGGCGAATGTGACCTCATCATATTGATTTGGCGTACTGTGGATATGTGTTTTCAGAACCTTAAAGTGGATTCATTAAGGTAAATCTCAAGGTTAATTTTAATTGGTATAGTAGGGTTCTCGGGACTGAAAGTGTTTAATAATTATTAGAAGCGACCAACAATCTGCCGCTGGTTCGGCAAGATGCAATGAAGGACGTGTAGGAGCAGATGGCTCCATCAAAGGCAAAGCTCAAGCATGTAAACCAGACATGATCCTGAAAAAAGACCAATTGGAGTACGGTGCCAGTGAGCATGGTTACGCGGACGAAGCAGGAGTAGGAGCAAAAGAAATAGAAGAAAAATTCTTGAAGTTGCCGAAGACACTGAAAGACATGGCTTTGTGACTTGCTTCGGCTGTCAATAATGATGAAGAGAAGATTCGGCTGATTCGAGTTGTGGGTATGGTCAACACGCGTAAGTAGCTTTCCTTTGAGCGTGTCAATTATATGGCAGGGTTTACTGTTTTACTAATGTTTGCTCATTTTTTATCAGATCTCCGGATGAACGCCATGATACTTGACATGCCTGATGGTTATGTGTGTAGAATTCGACCTTTACAAGAGAAACGCATTGCTGCTACATTAGAAGAACCGTTTTCCAAGACATATATACCATTTCTTGAACAAGTTATCAGGATAAAGGTGAAATGACAAAGCTTTTATAGTAGCTGGTGATATCAAATACTAATCTATAAAATATAATTAGGGAGTTGTCAAGGAAACATTGGATGTGGTGTTTGGTGTGAACGGTGAAAGTGATGGCGAAGACGATGACGATGGAACTGGATACGTGCCGAGTACACCAACCATCAAGACGCTAATTATACCCTCTGCGATGAATACACCCGTTGGTGCTACATCCAAAAAGAGAAAAACGAGTGTATCATAGTTGTCATGTTGTAATACGTCTACTTGCCTTTCCATTTGTTTAAAAAAAGTCTTTTCTTTTCTTCTTTATATAAATACCATACCTCCTTCATCATTGTAACTTCTTTGTCTTCATTATCATAAATAACTGTCATCGCCTTTACATACCATACTTTTTATATAAGTACCTGTATCTCCATCATTGTAACAAACATAGTAAATATAAACTAGGCTTTTGATACGGACACCCCCTTCTATTTTCAATCCTCGTCAGGTTACACACATCCTAAAAATATATACTTGTGGAGGTGTCCGCAAGAATGTGTTCACTGGATGTGTTCACTTGTTATTTATTATATATCTTTCGATATATAAACAAAAGAGAACTATAAACCTATGTCGGACACCTTTAAGCAGGGAAAAGTGAAATGACAGTGACCAAACAATGACCAAAACTTTATTTGGTCAATGACCAGATTTTTCCCAAAAAGGAACAGTGGTGGGGGAGCATTTGTAAGAATGGGGGAAGGCGATTTTTTTTTTAAGATTAACCAGCGCACTGGTCAATTTATGGGAACGGCTATTTGTACCACCCCACCTGCACCACCCCTCGGGTAGTGACTAGCTTTTCGGAGGTGAAATGGCATGGCGGGTGGTGAGAAACGATGAAGGGTGGTGAGAGGAGGCATGTATTTCAATGAAATCTTTATAATAGGTCTATCTGTTATTGTTCAAGGTAACTAGACTACTCGTTAACTATCAGCAAAGTACCGGTTCTTCTTTAAAGTGATCTTCAATTTTCTTATAAATCAAAGTGCTGCAATAGTACGATTACAGCAAGACCATAACTATTGTATTATGGGTGTTTACATAATATATCATGTTTTCATGGTCTGATTGATAATTAGTACACTTCTTTGACACTATTTTCTTTTTGCTTACGTTATTCGATTACACATCTTGTAGCAATATTTCTGTTTGCGAGCTGGTTGTTTGACGTTATTAAAGTAAGAGAGAAGGGAAGAGGTCTATTTTTTGTGGTCGATTAAGTAGGAATGGTTGGTGAAGTTGTGGCGGGTACAAAAGAGATTATGGGAGCGATGGACAGAAGGGTACACAACTTGGGCAGCTGGTCTAAAAGAGACATGGTAGAAATGAAAATTGCTCAACTGCATACTGATAGGTTTACCTGTAGGAGCGGAAAGGAAAGGTATGTATAGAGTTGAGAATTCAACAGAATACCAAGCAATGGCTTTTGAGAACGCATTGGCAGCTAGAATTGCACAAGAATGATTGAAATATGAAGCAGTATTGCAAGGAGAGGAGCGATCGGATAACTTATGCTCCACTGAAGCCAGTTCATCTTCTCTAAAGAGATGTAAGAAAATAGCGCGATTCTGCTGCAAAAACACAAACATATCGTCTTTGATGGATGGCCACATATCCTCATCGTTTTTCAAGTCCAAAGCCAAGACACGAAAACCACAATTACCATCAGGCTGAGGACTAACAATAGTGGCGACTTGCTGCTTGGGTACATCGGTGCTTAAGACACCAGCCAATGGCACCGCCAGATCCTTGCCCTTTCCTTCCCTATTTTAACGGCCCACCACAATCAGCTTATATTATACACTGGAATGATTGGTACATACCATGTGGCTGCTGCGTCAGCTCCGAAGCCCGTCTTGGCCTTTTTCTTGCTTTGCTCATCTTGGATTTCGAGTGTAATTGGCAAGCGTTTGTTGCTATTACTGCTGTGGCTGCTGCTGCTGCTGCTGGCGTTATTTGCAGTAGTGCGAGCTGTTGTTTTCTTTGTTGGCACAGGTGGAGATTGCAGTTCATGCATATCAATGAACGAATCATTACTGATTGCCTTCAATTTATGCAAAAGATCTGCTAGTTGCTGCTGGTTTTGGAGATTGAATCCTAGGTTTTCAATCCGGACAAGCTCAGCGGCGACTTGCTTTTCGATCGTTGGCTTCTCGTGGTCGTCCACAACTGCTATAACGTTAGGTGCAGAGAGCACATCGACAAATTCGTCTATTGCAAAAAAGAAGAAAAGAAAACCGGCTCATAAATCGTCGGTGAACATACTCACCATTGTCTTAAACTCTGCAATAGCCATACCATTGAGATTCGATGCTGTTTTTTCTGGGAACAAGTGCCAACGCCGAGGGATAATCGACAATGGAATGGGCCCGTCAGCTGGATACATATGACAGCATGGTATTCCGTAATGGATCTTTAAGGCACACTTGCAATGCATCGTCTTCAGCACGTTCGAAAATCTCAACTGGTCTTTGATGGCTTCAAAAGCAAAGCGAGATATATTACGACTGAGGAGCTCAAGTCGCGTTTTATATGCCTCAGGAAGATGAGAATTAGCACTCAATGCTTCCTTATCAACCTGCTGATTCCAGTTGGTGTTCTACAAAAGCGTCTATCATCAATTACACAGTATTGCTTATCGCAAACCCCAAACGTGCCGATACTTAAATATAAGTATGCAACAACATGAATTGATGCGAACATTTCTCAGCAAAACGTATGTATATATACCTTGTCTTTATACCACATATTCAGATGTGTGAAAGAAAGATGAAGGCTGCTGGATGGATCGATGTACTTTTTGATTTCGGCGTGAGCATCTTCAGCCTGGTTGGTACTGGTATTTCCAAGGTGTCGCAGTTGGCCAGTCTCACTGCCAACCCATTTTTCCCTAAAGGCAAGTTTACTATAGAAAGAGTATATGAGCTAGATCAATCATAAAGCCCCACAAGGATTTGGACAACATTCAAAGGTACACTAATCATCTACCTTTTCAAGTAGCTTCGTGCCTTTTCAGGGTCTGAACAACACAGTATTGCATTTTCAAACATAGTAAGCGCCTTTTGCTCTAGTTTTACATCGGACACCTTCTCCATCATATCATCGAACTTGTCCTTGTAAGAGCTAGACATCAAAAGGTTGAGCGCCTTTTCTACCTGGTCCCATTGTTCTTGAGTGTCAAAAAGCTTTCGAAGGTTCGTCTTGAAGTTTCTATGCAAATGGATTTTACACAGTATCTTCGTAGACTCAGGGAAAGTGGAATCAAGCGCAGTCATTAATGCCGCTTCACTGTCTGTGACGAACACTTTTGGATAAACCGCTGTCGAAGACGAGTAAACAACTGACTTTAGCTGTTGAGCAAACCACATATACGACCCTGTGGTCTCATTCGAGACCCATCCTCCAGCTACACAAAAGCTTCTTAACGCCTTCACGCCAACATTTCCGGTACCAATCACATTTATAAATGGCATTTTGTTGCGATTGGTCTGGTAGGTGGCATCCATGGAGATCACCTCCGGGAATTGGTTTGCAACCTTTATAGCATCGCCATGGGCAAAGAACAACGCATTGAGGAAAATCTTTTCCCCTTCTTGTCTCGAGTCAAAACGGACGTGGTAATCGTTCTCTTGCAGAAGGTTGATCAGGTTGAACATTGCACCGTCAGGGTCGTTGTTGAACACTGTTTGACGAATGTTTGAAATATCCTTTGCGGTGGTACCAGAATGGCCTTTGCTGCGTAGGAAGTCTGTGATGACTCTGTTCGTGGCATGGTTGAGGATTAAGGTACGCACTGTCTGGAGAACGTCTCCTTTCAAACGGCGGTGCAGTGGGTAGGCACTAGGTTCCAAAGCCATATGGTGATTGTGTCCGCCATCATAGATACTCACCACACGCCATTGCTGGCTCTTACTGTCTAATGGTCGTAGCATCAGATTAAAAGGGCAACCAATCCGTTGAGAATCTTTGCTACGTCCTTTCTTCTTTTTCTCGCTGCTGCTCAGAATGCCGCCTTCCTCGTCAATAACAATTGTTGTTTGTTGCTGCTGCGATTGTTGCTCTTTCGGTGTCTGGTCACGGGGCTGACCAAAGTGCTTACAGCCAAGTTGGCACCTTCGCTTGGGGCCTGTTTTATCAGCTCTGATTACTGAAAGCTGGAACTTGTTTTTCAACGCCCAAGATTGCAAGGATGTAATTGCAATGTCGTACGATTCGTACGTTTGGTTGATTTCCTCGGGGATGTTCGCTGATCTCGTCTGTAATGTCGACATGCTTGCTGAATGGAAAAGGAAGGACGCGTTTTCTTTTCCTTGTCACACAAAATTATAAAAAGGATCACATCTTTAATTCTCAACTCAAGACTCTCTGATTCTTTCGGTAGCAACATCCTGATTAGTGTGTCATAGTCTTTAGCAAACGTTCTCATCAACGATAGTGCTCAATACTGCGATGACTGTAGGCTACTACTGATGATTTACATTATTTTGACAGATAGTGTATTTAGTCGCGTTTTTTTTTCTCACTATGGTCCCTTTTTTTTAAAAAAATAGACATTTATGCAGCAAACTCGTAATGTTTGTATGATCACTATGTTTCTTATAGTTATGGATACAATTGAAAAACGTGGTGGTACTGCTACACATATTTATGCATTAAACAAACAATACGCCATAGTCTCGTTTCACATTCATCTCTCACCACCCTTCATCGTTTCTCACCACCCGCCATGCCAATTCACCTCCGAAAAGCTAGTCACTACCCGAGGGGTGGTGCAGGTGGGGTGGTGCAAATAGCCGTTCCCGTAACCAAAGCCTTTTTCTTCGTACCTTCTATATTTTTTTCGTCATTCTTCCCTTTCGTCAACGTTGGTGCTTTTTGTTCATTGTTATCAATCATATAGCAAGCTTATTATTTGCTGTAAGTTTCTCTTTTGTTAAAAAAATAGGATGCATTGTTTGTTTCAGTGTGTAATTTTGGTAACCATGCTAACGAATACTAACCAAAAAATATGTTGCTCGCTTTTAGAAACCCAACATGATCTATTCTGAGCATATAAAGAAAGGTACACGTAGTTTTCATATACTTCGTACCTAAACACGGAAAAAATATTCATGTCACTTCACTGTAATCTTTTTTAACAGCAATAGCAATTTAACCACCAATAACAATAACAACGACGACGACATTGACGGGAAAGTGGCTGTGTCCTATCAGCAAATAATAGATACTCTTGTTGAGATCATCATTGAAAATGAAGAAGGCGATAAATTCGATGACATCATGACAAAATGGTCAAGAGAGCTTGAAGCTTTTAGCTGTGATGAAATACAGTTGGTACGTTATTTTAATAAAAGCATTGGCTGCTATGACTATTATTTTATAGTGTAAGAGTGAATCAAACGAAAAATCAATCAAATCTTCTTATTCTCTTTGCAACTATGTAGATCCGTCAAAAGCCATCGTGGAAAATGATCGAAAAAGAGTTTAAAAGAAAGCACATCAACAACACCGAAAGTAGCAATAATAAATCTACTCCAAATCCAAGTCCTTCAAAAAAAAAATCTCCCAATAGCACAAAAAAGACCAATACCAGTTATCTCAACCTTGGGATAACTGAAGAAGAAAAAACAAGCGTGCAAGCGTTATTCGACGAAATGGACCAAAATAGACTTTGGATTCTGGAAGCAACAAAACGTGCAGCAGCAAGTCAAGAGGCGGAAACCGATCAAGTAATATCAGTTGAAGAAAAGATGCTGCAATTTGCTTTAAATTGTAATTTTCGGCAGTAAGTAGAAGCAGAAAAAAGGCAGTGTGTTTTTGCTATAAAGCTGTGATGGACTGATTTGGTACCTTTATCTAAAGTTAGTCCGAGCCAGTGGTTTATTCTTGACTTAAGTGATGAACATTGGGAAGATGTGTTCACCAAAGAGGAGTTAAAAGAACTTCAGGAAACTGGTGATGAAGTACTCACACCTGTCGATGACGCTATCGAAGGAAAATTGGATGAACTTAATGAATTGGTAAGTTTAAAAATCTAGTGGCAGTCTTTTCTCTCTTTTTTCTTCTCTCTCTAGATTACGACGGTTTCTTTTTTTCTTTTTCTTTTTCAAACGATTCCATTTCTATTGGCTATTCTGTTCATAGAATACTGCCGAGGATGCTTATAGCTACTCCCGAACCATTGAGCATGACCCAAAGAAACAGCCGTGGTTAGCTTGGTTTGCAATGACGTTGGTGAAAACGGCCTATCCATTCATCCATGATGTGGACATAAGCACATATCTGGAATCAGACAAACAGTATCTGTCATGGGGATTCCTTAACGATATTTTTATTGGATCGAATATCGCCGCACAAGGGTAATAATATTTAATGGTAAATAGGGACAGTCATCGTAGGTCGTATACTAAGTACATTGGCATGGATTCTTTGTTTGGGGGGTTATAGGAAAGAAAAAACGAGCAAAACTAACGCAACACAAACCAACAACAAGCGAACACTGTCTGCAACTGAAGAAGTAAAACGCAAAGCAATCGGTCGGCGCATGGACTGTATATATACTGGTAGCTTAAAGGAGCTTGGGTGTATGGAAGTAGGATCAGTGGCTGATCAAACGGAAGAGTTCAAGGATGCACGTATGAAGATGCCAGTTGTCATGAAGGACATGCTGCGTGAAATTGTGGAAAGAGCACCAAATCTTGTACGACGTGTGCACATGATAGGATATATGATTATTGGTAAGCAATAATTCTGGTTGGGGTAGGGGTATTATCATGTCAACCTGTTACTGAATTATAGCTAAATTTAGGTCAACAAGTATCTATGCTTGACATGGATTCGCCCAAGGGCTATGTGTCTCGAGTCCGTCACACAGTGCCAATCGAATATCCAAGTTGTACAAAAGACTATGTTGCACGAATCGGCCCATTGATTGAATTGGCATCAATATTAAAGAAGAAGATGGTAACCACCCTCGAAATATACCAAACAGCTCGAATTCCATTGAAAGTTGCCAAACATGGCTCCTTTGTTTTACCACCCAACCCATTTTTACCATTCGCATCATCTACAACAACTACTACCGCAACAACATCAGAATCAAATTCAAAAGATCGGTCATCATCATCACTCGCATCTAAACGATCCAAAATCCATCAATAAAATCATTTCATAAATATCAACAACGAATATACTTAGCAGATATACAGCATCATTATTTGAATATCGAATATTCTTTACTACAATAACAGACTACCTTACGGAAAAAAAAACATGGTTATTCAAAATTTGGCATAAACAACATACATACACAACATCATTATTTGAATCTTAGGCATTTTGTACATTTATGATACACTACATTGGCTATTGTTTCATATCATTATCAACATTGATGTTTTCTGGGGGTTCGCCCAGACCCCGAAGGGGGGGGGGTTTTCCCCCCACACCCCTTTTCTAAACCCGAAACTGCTCGCTTCGCGAGCTTATTGATTGCTATGACTACATATAACCCTAAACGTTAGCATTATTGCTATGACACGAAACCCTACTACACATTGGTTTGTCAAATTTGAAAGGGACGACAGAGGAACTTTTGACTGGTATTTTCACTGTTAATATGAAGATAACTTACATATTTGTTGCTATCGACAGCTCTTACATGTTTTTGTAGATTCATTAATGTGTACGCTTTCATTTGAACATCGTAGTATTAAGTTATTGCTGCTTGTCGTAATTAGCTGAAAGATGACGGCACCATTGAGTTGACACGCACGCAGTTCTATATCTTATCGATTCGCATCAGATCTACTTACAAAAATACCATGAAAAGGTGAGAATATTTTATTGTACGTTAATTGATGATAAGTTAAATTAAGAGAATAGAAGCAAAAAGAAAAAGAGCAGAAAAGGGCTTTAAGGTAATGGAGGTGGAGGAGATGCGGTGATTGTTGTTGTGGGAGAGGTTGGTGGTGAATTTTCGGCTTGCTCAGGAACAGAGGCCGGCGGATGCAAGAGAACTTTTTGGTAGACGATGTTGGTGGTTTGTGGTGGTCCAGACCCCGACATATCGATGGCAACGTGAAGATTGTTACGGTCAGTCGCCCTAGATAGCGCAACATATAGTTGGCCATGAGCGAAGACATCTTCTGCAAGGCGGACACCGACATATTGCAGGGTTTGCTCTTGCGCTTTGTGGATGGTCATAGTAAGGCAGGGCGGACAGGGAATTGGCGGCGGCAGAAGATAGGGATAATCTCCTTCCATTGTACACATATTGATACGTGGAAGGAAAAATTCCGGACCACGATGCCCTTGGTTAATTCTTTTCACGTCAATACACCGATCAAGAAGCCTTGTCAAGAAAAGTTTGGTTCCATTGCATAGGCCGGCGTCGGGATCAAAGTTGCGCATGAGCACTATAGGCATGCCAGGCTTGAGCTGCAACGTATGGCTAGGTATGCCATTAGCGCTGAGATTGTTCAAAAACTCGACGGGATAGTTGACTACTGCTGCTTCTGGCTCATCAGCGTCTATGATACGGTCATTGGCAGCATAATTGCGCCCTTCACCTGGAAAAACACCATAGGCAGCCTCGTTAATCACATCGACGTGGACGTTTTTGGCTGCCACTATGGCGCGAGCGTTGAAATCTTCAGGTTGCGGCTGTGGATTGCGGATGTTGGGATATTATGCCGTCTATAAGACCCATGGTGTCTGCTGCATCCATACGCCATTCCTGAGGAATTTCTATGCTTTCTGTATAAGGAGCACGTCCATCGCCAATGGCAAGAAGTGTCTCAGCAAATGCGGCAGCAGCAGGACCGGCCACCTGCTTAAGGCGTTTACGAAAATTCACGCAGACAAATAACGGGCAAATATGTATCCGAATTGAAAAACGTAACATTCAAGTCGACGAGAGCTCGGATACATATTTAGCCGAGAAGAATATGAGCAGTCATCGTTTCTTTCGGTTACTTTTTTGCTTATTAGCACTTACCAATAGATCGCTCAATCTAATATACTATGCGACAACCGACGTAAAAACTAAAAGCAATCCTAAAAGACATGTGTATATAAAAGAAGTAGAACAATATAATTTAAAACAGAATTTATCAAAAGAAAAAAGAAGGAACAGATAAGAAGAAAGAAGAAGTATATGTATGAGAGAGAGAAAGGAAAACAGGAAAGAAAGCTAAGCATGTCCACACATTCATTTGCTGGACCATGGTGGTTGCTGTATTGTACGCGTTGAGTGCGTTCTGTCAAAGTATTGTTTAGATATCGATCAGGATCGTGCTGTTGAGCTTCATAGCGCCCCAACTGAAGTGGCCGAAGACTTTCCCTGTATTCTTCGTCTAACTGCAGCAGATTCTCTTCCCGTAGACGGATTTGTGCGCGTAGTTCGCAGATGGCTGCCTCATCCTCACGGTCGAGCCGTCGAAGCAAACGCATGCGGTTTTCCATACGGATTTGCGCTGCTTCGTTATCAATGATCACTGTGGGAAAAATTTTGGTTAAATCTGGTTGGTTTTTTGGGGGTAAATAACCAGAATTAACCAGAACCAGAATTGACCAGTAATCACCAGCAGAACCATAAATAACCAGATTCCACCAGCAAAACCCAGGAACATGAACAGCCAGATTTCACCAGCAAAAACCAGGAACACGAACAAGCAGAATCCATCAGAAAGAAATAAACCATAAAAAACCAGATAGCATCAGAATACAAATAACCATATATTACCAGATTTCATCAAAATAAAAGAAACCAAGAACAACCAGGAAATGCTATTTTACTTCTGAGCGGTATTATGATAGTGTAACCATTCATTTCTAGTTAATTTTGTTCATATTCAATAACGCGAGGCCTTCTTCTTAATGTGTGATTGATCGTACAATAATGCACTGTTAAGGTTGAGGGACAAGAGAGGCGGATATATCATAAAGTCATATCTATATACATTCGTGCATAATCAATTTGGTATTGACAATGAATTAACTGCTATTGCTATCGTTGGTCATTCTTCAGCTTATCACAACACTTACATTTTTGAATGCCGTGCCGTTTTCGACTTGCGGCCACGCGAAATCGGTGTTGTTCGTTTTTTTCCTTGCCGCCTCTTTCTTGTTGCTTATCTTTGGCGGCGTCTTTCGTTGTTGGCTCCATTTATACACCAGTCTTATGCAAAAACAAAAAGGCAAGGTAATAACTATTATCATAATGAATTTTTTCATTACCTTTGCGTTTCTTTACGCGAGTTGCGTTCATCGTCGCCACTTTTGGTAAAGTTTCGCCACGCTTGACGTACAAAATGACGAGCACCCCAATGGTTGACGCAACGGTCCGATGGTACTCTGGCATGTTCTACAGCAAGCCGCTCAACCTCGTTGATGCATTTATCAACCAAGGATTGCTTGATCGATTTCAACGGAACTTTTTTTGCCTCTTCTCTGGAGCACGGAAGTTTATCTTCAATCTTACTAGGGATCCTTTGACGACGCTTTTTGTCAGCATACCCATAGCCAGCTCAGCAGCTGCTCCCTCCAATCCACCTGCTTGCTGTATAACCAGGTGCATAACATGCTCCTTCTTGATATTATGTGTCTTAGACTCCTTTATCCAATTGACCGTGCTATTGGCTGTAGTTGCTGTCTCTTCAACTTGTTGCTGCTGCTGGCTGTCATTTGATTTCAACATCTCCAATATCTCAGCGCAGATCACTTCGATACGCTGCTGACGTTCATCAAGTTCGTCTATACGGCTACGTAAGACTGAATACTGGTCTTGTTCATCAAATACCATGGGCTCGTGTAAGGATGATGCGTAGTCTTGTGTGTACATCGTGGTTTTACCAGTTGAAAACGAGAAAGAAATGTAGAAAAAAGGGGCACATAACTCAAGAGAATTGGCATTAATTAAAATATGTATGCAAATGCAGGTACAGGCATTTAGTTATAGGACGTGCGTACTTGATAAAAATATAATGAAACTGATTGAAGGGTATAGTTTCTTTAACTTCTCAACATGATTTGCCCAAAGTGCACTCTAAATTGTACCGAAAACAAATATTATGCTCATATGCGAACTTGCTTAAGCCCACCAACTAATAATAGCCGACAAGAAATCTCTACACCGCCAAATGCTACAAGCGAACCTTTAAAGAATCAACAACAGCAGACCGCTTTTATTGCTGACATTGTGCATCACACTGAATCTGTTTATAGTAGTAGCGAAACAATATATACTGTATGGATGTCGATGAAGAACAGATTATGAAAAGCACGCACAATGTGTTTACATACCAAGTATGTGCCTTGAGCCAGGTTTGGGTTTATGTAGTTTGCACGAAGAAATGCCGCGTTCCATTCTTGGATAAATCCTTTCTCCCAGCGTGTCAGGTTTTGACGAAGCACGATCTCGGTATTGAAACGGTTAATTAGCTTTGGTATATAGCTATGTATAATGACGAATACCAAGAGATCCAATCTAGCACGGTTGTACGTATACATATGATTACGCTTAAGCACTTTCCAGTGTGCTTCGACAAGCATGGTTGTTCTTGACAGTGGGATGCGATCAGGGACAGAGCTAGCTGCCTATGTTATCCACTTGTCAAGCTGGTAATATCGGCGAAACATATAAGCCCATGCACGATGCAGATTATGCATAACGCAGTAGTCGTACATCTCCTGGGCGCATTGTTGCCATATATCGTTAGAATTAGCAAATACTGTCCCTATTATATATAGAACCAAGCAAAAGAATGACAGAAACAGGTGTATAAGTATATCAATGAGTGTTTATACATCTACCTAATAATTCTGCACCACGTGTTATGAATACCTTCAGCCATCATTGGATGACGGCTGTAGTGCCTGCCCACCATCTTCAGTATCTCCTCTCTTCTTGGTTTATCACACATAATGCGATTCAAATCAGTGGTGGCGGACGGTGTGAATTGATGCGAGACAAACGGGAATTGGACCATCGCTTCTTGGACGTCATAATAAGTGGATGTGGCATTTCTTCTAGAAGAAAGCTTCCTTTCCATAGAATGCTCTATATGCCAAAGACATTGACATAGACAACGACGACTATCCCATGTCGCGTGGATCGCACCAAGTTGCGCAGCATCACCATCACTAAACATAAACTCTGGTTATAGTCTCCTGTCTTTGAGTTCTCCTAAAAACCGCTCTAAGGTTTGTGTTTTTGGATGCTCGATTGTGGCGTCTGCATTGCTTGTGTCACAAAGCATATATGCAACAGGGAATCCAGCATCATTCACATAGGCAATGACACCATATAGCTCCATACCAGCACGATTTGTCTTAAAAGTGGAGTTGATATGGTACTCTTCCACATGAACACAACCAGCCAAAGGGGCAAAAAAAGGAGTGACGAAACCCACAGCAACAATACCATCAGCAGTGTCAGAATAAATCTATTTTTTATTCATACAATAAGGCAAAAACACTACCTTTTTCTAGATAATCTACTAAAGCAAAAACAGGGTCTACAGAAGGCGAGTTCGTTTTCTGTATTAACCTACTTACCTCCGTATATCCTTGAATCATATACTGCTGTACCAAGAGCCAGGAGGAAACAAACTGGTCATCGTGTAGCATATACCACGTACGGAACGTCTCGCCCCACGTAATACATCTGTGCCGCCGTCGCCGCATGATAGCCCCATTCATCGATGATATCATTATGTATATCTGGCGCTGAACGAGTCATTGCATGTGCTGCAATAAATTCACGCACCTCATGTGATACACCTTCTGGGCATGGAGCTGGAGCGGCTGCATGTTGCGATGGATGGCGAACGGTAAGCTCGATCGTTCCTAGATCCCGATCGGTCACCATCCGTAGAGTGACACGCCGGCGCTCACGAACAGGTATCTAACATATAAAATTAATCCGTTCTCAACGAAACTGTACGCAAACACTTTGCCCATCTGTTCATTTTTATTGATGCCTTTCTTGAACGGTTGATTAGCTTACTTAATTCTGTATAGCTACAGATTAAACGCATCTTGCGGTAAATGAAATAGCTTCACGAAGTGCCGGATCGCCAGTGTTCATCACATAATATCTGTAGTTGTCACAGAGCTGCACTGCTTCCAAAATACGTGTAATGATACGCTGATCTGACCATGTGCGCATTTCATCCTCGTAAATGATATAGTCCGAAAAAGAGAAGACCTCAGTAGTGACATCACCAGTGGAATTACGGACAGCAAAAGGGTAAAAGTTGCCCAACTTGTCAATGAAGATCATTGAGTCGAGTGAAACTGGCATTCTCAGTGTCTGTCTGTCACGACAGACAATACACGTCCTGCACGGTCTTGTTCTACCGGCAAAAAGGGCAAACGGTTTCGTTTTTCTGCAATCCATGCAGTAACGATCGGGATCACCAAGCAATTCCACAGCTTCGGTATGGGACCAGCAGCATTGGTAGAGTTAGTTAAAGACATGGCAAGAATACAGGCGCGATGCAAAAAGGGGGGAGAAGAAAGGAAGAGGGGACCCTTGTAAACGAGCAAGCACCAAAAAATAAAAACGATGACGGCCCATTATTTATCCGAGCTCTCGACTTTGATGTGATATCAGAAAGGGAGTTGACAAGCGCACTATGAAATAGTATGTATCCTACGAAGCGCTAATGTAATGCGGGCTGCTACACCGTCGGGCCAAAAGGTTGATCCTTGAAACACTTGATGCCAATGGGAGTTCCATATGTGGAGTATGGTAGTGGCGATGATACATATGAAGGACAGTTTGAACTCTGGCTTGACCGTGAGCGGGGAGGTGTTGAGAGACCTAATGTGATCAAACGTCAAAGACCCATGGTCGACAAGGAAGCGCACGCTGATGGTCGACCACACTTGTGCTTTCACGGGACAGGACCAGAAAAAATGCTGCTCATCCTCGACCGCAGGACATAAACGGCAGGCTGGCGAGTCGAAACTTTGATGTTGCGTTTTTTATTTCGGATAAAGTATTATCCGACATTTGTCTGCGTAAAATCTCGTAAATGCCTATAACAGTGTTGTCGACAGTCGACAGCGATCGCTCGTATCGGATATCGACCGGAAGACTCGGTCAGACAGGTACAGTCTGAGCATTCCGCATCCACCAGTGCTCAGTTACCAGGCTACTTCGGCAATCAGCCCTTGACACCTATGGCCAGTGGGAAGACCAGGATTGGATCGAGAAGCTGCACAACTTGATATTGCTCGTCGCTATTTCTAACAACTTCACGTTTCGATGGATTGAAAACCCTGAGACTATTGCATTGTTTGACCACCTGAATAGTCGCTTGAATGTTTGTCCCATCCATCTACTACTTGAGTCATTGAGCTCTATACACTAACCTGGTATATGCATATGCGGTTGATCAAAAACAGCATTCCAAGCCGCAAAGCCCTTGTGGGACGCATTCTGGATAGAGTTGCTGACATGGCCAACGGCAACATCGCGAAGAAGGCCAAGGAAACGAGCGGTGTGACATTAACTTATGATGGCTGGCGTAATGTTTCCAAGGAATCAATCCTCGGTATCGTCCTCAGCTAGGACAAGGGCGAGAGCATCGTATGGGATGCCAAGGACATTTCTTGTGATGTCGCTACCACGGAGGAGGTCAAGAGAAAGCTGGAACACATTATCCACAATCCTGACAAGAAGCTTTAGCTGCTACAATCGAGGTCACCGCTGTAGTGACTAATTCCGCTAGTGCTTACACGGCCGCCGGCAAAGCCTTGCGTCTGGAGTATCCCAACATTGTCTGGTTGCCATGCTTTGCCCACCAGCTGAACCTTTGCATTGCTGATCTCCTAAAGTTGTTCCCAGACCTCAAGGCATGCATCACGGAGTCCATAAAAGTCATTGAGGCGTTCAACCGATCGACTATCCTTGCAAGCGCGTTGCGAGATACGCAGCTCAACCAGTACAGCAAGACCAAGAGTTTACGCCAGCCCGCCGCCACATGATGGACCAGCTACTATGATAGCCTCCAACGCACTGTGGGCAGTAAAGACGCCATCAAGATATGCTCATGCCTTCAAACACCACAATTTTATTATATCACTGATCCATGCATTATCTACATATAGGTCGTTGCGATCGCATCCCCACAAACACCCAGCGATGTTAGAAACATTGTCAATTCCACCAGCTATGGAATACCTGCACTGCACTGATTAAGATGATGGCATCTTTTGCTAAGACGCTCGATATTTTGCAATCAAATCATGCATGGCTGTTCGATGTTGTGCGCGTCTTTGCTCAAGATATCGCCCCCATGTTCATCACCCGCAAGCCACGCTTTGTCCTCGACTTACCATGTGCCCAACTCAATCACTTGTCGGTCGACTGGAGAAACGTTGGTACTCCTGGGAACAGCCACTGTTGCTAGTGGCTGCATTCCTGCATCCCGGCATAAAGGATCGCCTTGTCACCAACACCCCCGGCCAATACCATCCTGAGGAGTCGCCAATCCACTTGAGCCCGTTCGTGTATGGCGCCTTCATCCGCAAATACTACACTATGTGGACCGGCGAGGACTGCAGCATGCTGCCTGTGCAAGTAGCCGCTTATGCTGCCGGAGAGGGGGTTTTTTTCACCCGACGCAGGTCGAACCGTTCCTGAAGGTAGAGGACAAGGACGGGGCGCTCAGGCCGTACTGGAAGAGCGTATTGGGCGACGGATAGTGTAAGCAGCTGGCATTCGTGGCGTTGCGCGCTCACGAAATTGTCGTTAACTCGGCATCTTGCGAGCGTCTATTCACCGACATGGGGTACATACACACGAATCCACGGAATCGGTTGGGCTGGCCGAAAGTGCTGCGAATGGCGCAGATCAGGGCAGATCTCAAGAACCAGCGAGGAAAAATCAAGGAGCGGGCAACCCCGCGTGAATACCCGATTGAAGAAGATGAGCTGGCAACAGCAGCCACCAAGGAGGACTTGCTCGCAATGGTCAACAGCAGCGAGGAGTCGACGGAGATCTTGCACGATGAGTGGATGGCACTCGCAAACGAGTGGATCGACATGCTGAATGATGAGCACAATGAGGCGGGCCAGGAGAGCCTGGAAGATATGCTGGACGAGTCAGACCCCACTCCCTACCAAAGATAGGCGCTACAAATGGACTCTCGAGTCTTTGCTTTCTCTCTCTCTTGCTCTCCCTTAAGCATTTCCAAATAAAGAAGGTTTATTCACGCTGGAGCCGTGAATTATTAGCTCTCCGAATATTCACGGTGAATAACCCAGCACTGGAAAAAACCAATATTAAAGGCCACATAATTCAACAGAATATTCCAAAGGAAAACGCTGAGTCCCACTGCACAGAATTGGCTCGTGGGTTCCAGCAGGGAAATATAAGTCGGGCTTTGTACCGCGAAATTACACGCATAAAGCAAACAAGCCTTCCTCCCTCCCCCAACAACAACAAAAATAATAATCACCTTCCTTTCTTTTCTTTCTTTCTTCTTCTATTCACTTTTCCACGTCTTGAAGGAACAAAAAGGATGCCTCGAGACGAACGGAGGCCTTTGATCAACGAAGATCACCAGGGCTCCTTTGGGGTATCTGCTGATGAACTCACACACCTTGTCGATCCTAAAAATCCAGACTTGCTTAAACGTCTTGGCGGCACCGAGCAGCTGGCTCGAAAGCTACGTGTTGACCTGCGCGTGGGTCTCTCTGCTGACGAAGGTGTCGAGCGATCAAGTGACGAGCCGTTCAACGAACGTCAAGCTGTCTTTGGCCGAAATATTTTGCCTGAAGCACAAAGCAAAACCTTTTCGGAATTACTGTGGGCTGCTTACAATGACAAGACTTTGAGTATGTTTTAGATTGTTGCCAAAGTTTGACGGGACAGTCATTTTTCACAAACAAAACATAATGAGCTAAACTTTCACTCCTAAATGACCCGACGTCAACTATTGAACTTTAGTCATGCTGACCATTGCGTCATTCGTGTCCCTTGCCGTTGGCATTTACGAAGATTACAGCCCACGCCACGATCCGGACGAACCCAGAGTTGGTTGGTAAGTTTCGTGGCTAATATAGGTGACACAGGGTGATAAACGAAAATGGAGAAAGAGTGGCGCGGTGGGTATTTCTCCGACTTGTGTACTAAAATAAATTAGGGTGGAAGGCACGGCGATTCTCGTGGCTGTATTAGCAGTCGTGTTCACCAACGCCATCAACGACTACCAGAAGGAAGCTCAGTTCAAGAAACTCAATGCCAAGAAAGAAGACCGTGAAGTCAAGGTCTTGCGGGGTGGCAAACAACAGCAAATTAGCGTCTATGATTTAAATGTCGGCGATGTTCTCGAACTAGAGCCGGGTGATATTGTTCCCGTCGATGGCATCTTCCTCCAAGGTCACAACATGGCGTGCGACGAGTCCTCGGCTACGGGCGAAACTGATACCATGAAAAAGCAAGCCGAAGGCAATGGTGTTGACTGCTTCATCCTGTCCGGATCCAAGGTTTTGGAAGGCGTGGGTCGTGCGCTTGTGATTGCTGTTGGTGAGCATTCGTTTTATGGCAAGACCATGATGTCCATGCGTGGCGACGAAGCAGAAGGCACTCCCCTCCAAGTCAAGCTTGATGTGTTGGCCGAACAAATCGCAAAACTCGGCTTTGCTGCTGCCTTGGCCATGCTTTTGACATTGGTCATTAAATACTTTGTTACTGCCTCGCTCCAGGAAGAATACCCTCCCGGTGGCGAAATCGCTGCTGCCATGATCAGTATCGTCATCCAAGCTATCACCATCATCGTCGTTGCTGTGCCTGAAGGTTTGCCCATGGCCGTTACTATGGCACTTGCCTTTGCCACAACGCAAATGCTCAAGGATAACAACTTGGTCCGCGTCTTGGCTGCATGTGAAACCATGGGAAATGCCACGGCCATTTGCTCTGACAAGACTGGCACGCTAACCCAAAACAAAATGACTGTCGTACGCGGTACTTTGGCCGACGAGTCCTTTGAGACTGTTGAGAAGATCAAGGACTGGGGCAAGAAGGTCCATTCCGAGTCTGTTCAAAACTTGGTGTTTGAAAACATTGCAGTCAACTCCACAGCGTTCGAAGGAAAGGACGAAAATGGCAACGTCGACTTTGTTGGCTCCAAGACCGAATGTGCTCTGCTCGGCTTTTCCAAGGGGCTCGGCAGCCGCTACGAGGATATCCGCCACGACAGCAAGGTTACCAAGGTGTTCCCCTTCTCATCCAAGCGCAAGTCCATGATGACTGTCATTGAGGTGCTAGAAAACACTGCTTCGACCAAGTCCCAGGCCGACTACCGTATCCACGTCAAGGGTGCATCCGAGATTGTCCTGGGCGCCTGTACTCGCTATTTGGATGCCCAAGGTAACACCAAGAAGCTTGACAAGGATGTCCTCACCCGCTGGAACAACATCATTACGGAGTACGCCAACAATGCTTTGCGCACAATTGCTTTGGCCTATCGCGATATCAAGACCGACCAGTTCGAAAACGCATCTGACGACGACGAACCTCCACTTGAAGAACTGACCTTGATCGGCATTGTGGGAATTATGGATCCTTTGCGACCTGGTGTTGTGGAATCTGTTGCCAAGTTCCGCGAGGCTGGTGTGTTTGTCCGCATGATTACTGGTGACAATTTGAACACAGCCAAGGCCATTGCTCGTAACGCAGGCATTCTTACCAAGGGCGGTGAAGCATTGACTGGACCTGAGTTGCGCGCTATGTCGGTGGAAGAGCAGCGCAAGGTGATTCCCCGCTTGCAAGTGCTGGCCCGCTCCTCGCCTACTGACAAGACGATTGTTGTAACACGCCTTCAAGAACAGGAACAGGTGGTTGGCATGACTGGCGACGGTACAAACGACGGACCTGCACTCAAGTTGGCCGATGTTGGTTTTAGTATGGGTATTGCTGGCACCGAGGTCGCCAAGGAAGCATCTGATATCATTCTCATGGATGACAACTTTAACTCGATCATGAAGGCTTTGCTGTGGGGCCGTGCTGTCAACGACGGTGTGCGCAAGTTCTTGACCTTCCAGCTGACCGTCAACATTGCCGCTGTTGCCTTGTCGTTCATCAGTGCCGTCGGATCCGAAAATTCTGAAAGTGTGTTGAGTGCTGTCCAACTGCTGTGGGTCAACTTGATTATGGATACACTCGCTGCATTGGCCCTGGCCACCGAACCACCTACTGACGACTTACTCCAGCGCAAGCCCATTTCAAAATACGCTCATTTGATCAACTTTAAAATGGGTAAAATGATCCTCGGCCAGGCCATCTTCCAGATCATCATCAACTTGTGTGTTATCTATCTTGGCAAGCCCATCTTCCATCTTGGTGACAGCACTCACGACCAAGCAGTATTGCGCACCATTGTTTTTAACATCTTTGTTTTCTTGCAAGTCTTTAACGAGATCAACTGCCGCCGCATTGACGGTTCCATCAACGTATTCAAGGATATCTTCAATAATTGGATCTTTATTGCTGTACAAGTCGCCGTCGTCCTCGGCCAGTATTTGATCGTCACTTTTGGCGGCATCGCATTCAAGACGACCCCTCTGACACCCATGCAATGGCTCGTGACCGTCTTGATTGGTGCTCTTTCGATTCCTGTCGGTACTATCATTCGCCTGTTGCCTGATTGTGGATTTGAACGCCGGTTCCGTGAAGAAGCCCGTCAGCTCGCAACCTACTCGCGTATGCATTGGGAGGGTGCTATTGGTGAAGTTCGCAATGGTTTGCGTGTTTACTCTATGCTTCGTCGTTCGCGTCACCCGCGCAGCCGCCATAGTCGTTCGGATTCGCTTAACAGCGTTCGATCTAGCTTGTTGGGCACCTCCCCTCCTCGCTATGGCGCCGTACGCTCTGACACTTCCCCTCCTCCTACCAGCAACAACGGCAGCAACAGCCCCGGATCAGCCACAAACAACCGATTCGCTTCGTTGGTCGCTTACGCCCAAGATTTTAACCGGGCAGCCGAGTCAGCTTCTGAACGACAGCAGAACAAAGCCTCAAAGAACCATCGTTCATAATAGAACAGTTTTTCCTTTCCATTTTTCCTTTCCATTTTTCCTCCTTTTCTTCATCAATTTTTTGTAACATATTAACATGTTGAAACACACTCTCACTCATACAATCATCTGACAAAATAATAAAGAATTCCTGTTTTATAAAAACATCATTCTAAAAATTTGGCTGCATAATGATTTTTGACATCCAGCGAGGGATTATAAAGAACCGCGCATATGATCTCTTTCACTTGCTTTCACTCCTTTGCTTTTCGCGTTTTGATCAGGTACGTCTTCCTTTTTATGCATCAAATTTTGAAGAAACTCCATTCAAACTCTTTTTTTTTGTGTTTCTATAGCAACAGTTGCCATAATTATGGTGCTGTATTCTACCTTCGGGTGGAAAAACGTCATTGTTGTCGTTATGGTAAGTAAACGATTCAAAAGTAAAGTAATCGCGTTTATTTTTATTAAATTTAGACCCTCTTCGTGCTCCCATCTAAAGATCTTTGAGCAGCTTCTTTCTTTCTCTCTGTGTATATGCACATTTACCGCATTCGTTGCTGTTGGCAGTGAACGTTATCAAAGTATTGTAAGTACTGGTTAATGTTGAAGACGATTCACGTTGTGAGTTGCAACTTGTTTATTCTTAACGTTTGGATCCTTTCTTTTCAAAACTAGGTCTTTCAGAAATCCGACACACCAGCTGTAGCTGCATGCTAGTTCAATGGCAGGGAAACGGCTTTGATAGTGACATGACAGTTTTAGTGGCGTTAGATTAGTCTGGCCAACTTATTGAACCCTCAAACTTGTGCAGCCATTTCCTCCGCTTAAGTACCAACAACCTGTGATAATCGCCGCCATTGTCATTGTCACTGTAAGTGAGCTTGCTGAATAAAGCGCTGGGAAGCTGGGCCGCCATGTGTGTAAGCCCCGTCTTACTTTTCAAGAGTGGCTCCCCTGGCTGGTTTTTCTTTCAGAAAAATCACCTAGCACAAGACAGCACAGCCGCTATTATCGATGTCTGTAAGTATAGTAGAAGCTAGTGAACTTTGCTGAGTAAAGCGCTAGGAAGCTGGGCCGCCGTGTGTGTAAGCCCCATGTTACTTTTCAAGAGTGGCTTCCCTGGCTGGTTTTTCTTTTCAGGAAAGTCAGCTAGCATTGTACAGCATATTCGCTATTATATTTGTATCTTTGTAAATAGCGATAGGAGTGGTTGGTGGTAAGGGTAGAAGAAGTAGGATAGTGGTTATTAGATCTTTTTTTGTATAGTTTCCCTTTTTTCTTAAATAGTTACGACTAGCAGCAGAAGGACAGGAAGGAAACGGATTTACGGTTGGTTGTTGTCGGGACCGATGATCCACACCAGCCTTGACGGTGTTATGTGCTAGGTGTGGGGAGGGGCGGGAGCCGAAGCAACGTTTGACTTCCACGTAGTGGCTCCTGGTAACATCAGTATGGCTTGCTTTGCTGGTGGCTAAAAGCGTTGCAACTTTGCTTTTTTAAAAAAATACAACTTCTCCCAATTTGTGATTTATATTTTGTATGTACTACATTCGCAATAGTCATAACATGGAGTGTATGGCATGCCATATGCTTATGTGTATAGAACGGTTGGACCGATTGTCCGTTTTTGTTAAAGCGAATATATATTTAATTTGATGACTCAGCTCACTATGTACTGTATTCGTAGGTAGATATTGTGGAGTGCATACTAACTGGTTGAGTATATTACATTGACAGATGCTATGTTTACAATGCATCTCAACTCGAATCTTTCATATTAGTACGTAAGCGATATCACGCTTAGGATTACACCTACAGTATCAGGCAATTGAGAGCGGAAATAATATGTAAGCTTGTCATGGTATATAGGAACGATATCATCTTAATATGTTATATCCAAGAAATCCAACATCCTGTCAATGAAAAAGGTTAGGAGGCAGAAAATATGTATGTATGATCACATAGATGTGTAAGGTTTCCTGCATGAACTCCTCACGGGGCCCCTTGTTTGTTTGCTGTAATGCATATAGAAGCTTATTTTCTGTCTAACTTTAAATCATACAGTATCAGGCTACATTGTACTTGATGCGACGGTCAGAGGCATCTACTTCTTTTGTCATCCATGGTTTGTTCTGCTGCATCGACTAGCTGAGCCATTGGCGTGCCTTTTCAATCTCAATTGTTTATTAAGTATTAGTATGAAATTATATATATACAGAGAAAGTGATGTGATTAAGAGGAAGGAATTGGAGTGACATTAATTTATACAGCAAAGGGCGAAAAAGGACTGGAAGAAGCAGAAGAATGGTCTGTTCTTCTTATAAGTACAAGTAACCTGTGATGGTGTGAGGGTTTACTACTCCACGGATAATTGTTGCTCATAGCGCGGCGTATACTCGGGCAAATCTAAATCCACAGTGACAGCATCATCACCTCCGATTCCGGGCCTAGCTCTCGGCTGGTGTTGCTGTTGTTGTTCTTCTTCTTCTTCTTCTTGTGACACATTGGTTCCTGTGGGCGGACAATCAGTGATAATGACAGGAAACTCCAAGGAAAACGGTTTGGCATTGCTACCAGGAGTGAAATGAATTGTGAGTCGACATTTGTGAGAGATTTCCAAGAATGGGTTGAATGTGTGCATGCGAACAGGCTGTGTGCTTTTGCAAGTCGACAACTGTTGGTGTTGCGTTAAGTGCAGTGGGGTGCGAATAAAATGTGTTTCTGAGCTTGTCGAAAACGAGGGCGGGTGGTATGTGGTACTTGGAAATCGGATGACTTTGGGTGGGAGGTTGTGCACACCAGATTTAATGGAGAACCTACAAGCATCCAATATGTGAAACGACGACGTTTGCTTAGCAGAGAGACGAGAGACGCTTTTCCCAGCCCTTCCTTCCTTCCTTCCTTCCTTCCTTCCTTCTTCTTACCTGTATGTCTCCAACTCTTCTAACGCCAACTCTACACGGTCCACCTCCACTCGCTCCTTTTCAACGCTCCATCGCAGTGCTACAACCAACTCGCCTACTTCGGCCGACGCGGCTTTGGGCACCTCAGCTGACCATTCGAACCATTCGCGCACCCCATGATACTCGACACTCGGTATCAACGCAGACAGATTAGGCAAGTAATGGCGCCTGACGTTGACCGTCCGTTGGATCCTGTATTTTTTAAAGAAAGAACCGGCGGAGAAATTCGCCACGAGGGTGTATTCGACAAACGCATGGTTGGCCTTGATGGATGGCGGCAGATGGGTGGGCATATGCAGACCAAAATCAATGATAGGGGCACCTGTGAAGATCAGCTCTTTCTCGACTTCACAAATCGTAACGGTTGTTTGCAGTATAGTCGTGCCTGTCATGTCTGCAGGACCAGTGATGGCATCGCGAGGTAAGGCAGACATCGGTGCCTGGATTTTTAATCCAGCCTTGCCCGTGAGCTGCAGGGTGATTCGGTTCCATTTGATTTTGCGATCGTGGAAGACAACATTGCCCATGAGGCGTGTGCGGACGTGCGCCATTGGATTGTCTCGGGTGGCAGGACCAATAAAGTGAACCGGTGCGTCATCCACCACCAGGTCGACTGGAGGAAGGTTTTTCGTTGTGCTGGAGGCGGATGCTGTGAGTCGCTTCATTCTAGGTGTGTGTGTGAGTGTGTGTGTGTGAGAAGGAAGAAAGCGAGGGAGAGAAGAGAGAGAGAGAGAGAAAGGAAGGCTTTGTGACGGTCGAGGTGGATCAAGGCAAAGGTGGGAAAGTTTTTGTTTATTTTATCATATCTTTTATTTTATCTTATCGCGATGCCACCAACCAATCGCCTTAAGTCTCCGCTGCTGCTGCTGCTGCTGCTGCTTTTTCATAAGGGAAAAGGCTCCCAAACATAAAGTGCTGCACCACAGGCACCTTCTTGAGCACTTCGGCAACGTACATTTTCGTCATCCCCGAATTCACTTTGCTCCATGAATGCACCGCTGAGATATCATGCAGCATAGGCGAATGCTCGTGGAATGGCCCGCGCTTGACCTGTTTTGCCACCACCACAAAAGATTACTTTTATTGCCACAAACAACCCCTCCTTCTCGGCTTTCTTTACCTCATGGATGTACTGAATGCATCGGAAATACATGTATTCGTCCGCCATGGCATCCACAGTGTCTCTGCTAGTGACCGACCGGGGCTTCAACCGTGGATGATCTAAGTCATATCCCTTTTTCAGTCGTGGAAAAAGTGAGACTATCACTCCATTCCCTCTCTCTCTCTTACCTATGAGCTGAGCACTGCCCCAAACATATGGAAGAAACTGATGGTCGTCCAGTCCCCACACACCATGGCTTCCTGCCGGCTCCAACGTATATGTTCGCTGCACCTTGCGCGCCAACTCCAGATACCTAAGGAACCTCTGCTTAGTTTCTCTTTTTCGTTCTTATATGTTGGCATCCACCCTCACTCGCCAGGTGCTGTTGCTCTATTTACCTGACAAATATCCTTAAAACAATTGCCTGATAGTCATCCGCAGTAAACCCACCGAGCAAGGCGATGCCGCCCAGCCATGCAAAGAAACTCAACTCGTGCCCTGAGCCATAATCTATCCGCGTGCTGTTGCCAAATCCACCAGTCAGGTACACAGCCAATTCAGGGATCGCCGGATGCAAACGTTCGGGGAGTGCTTTGCGCATCAGATTATCGGATTCCTATATCGTATGTTGTCAGTAGTCTTCTTCTTCTTCCAGTACCAACATCGTCCCAACCAATACAACCGATGGCCCTTATTCTTTTTTTTTTACCTTCTCTACTTTATCTGCCCACTGTCGAAACGCCTTGTTTCCAAATCGCTGCGGGTTATCAAGGGGTGGAAATTCTGCAAGCCAGTCATCCATTTCGTCCAACATGTCAAGAACTCTCTGCGTTTGCTACACTCAAAATGTATATTTTAGTTTCTTGGCGTCAACTTGAATTGGTACTTCTAACCCTTAGTAATGTGACAAGTAAAGTGCCAAGTTCCTTCTTTTACCTCAGAGATGTGACATGGATCTGAAATCTTTTTTTTCGTGACGCTGGAGTTCAGTAAGCCAACAAATGTCATCAGTCGCTCGAAAGCTTTACTGTGCGTAAATACATCAATATCGGGTTGCTTGTAAATGCATTTCTGGGGAATGGTTGGTGTGTATGTTGATAGGACTGATTCCATTATGCGTGTGGCAAGAAATAGAAAGAAACGCGGCAAATCCTATGTGTAGTAATGCCCGCCACATCTTATTTCTTTGCATGAAAAAATTTGGCATAGACGTACTTGAGTTCTTACATGAAGAGAACTTTAAATAACAAGTACCAAATGGAATCTTTTTTGTTTGTTTGGATTAATTAGAGAAAAACCAGAAAAACGGACAGACGCAGAAAGAGAGAGAAAGAGAATAACAATATAATAATGAAACTATTCATCATCGTCTTCATCCGCAGTGCTTAGCCATTCGATGAACTTGGTGCTCTTGATCTTCAGGTCGCTACCATCCGGTAGTACATCGTACCAGATAAGGAAGGCCTCTTCATCCACAAGATCGCAATCATACCATGTCGAGAATGCCATGACGGTCTTTGATAACAAAGCAGGGCTACGGTTCGTCACAAATTTCTCCCAGGCCTTCAGCAACGTGCGTTGGTCCGTCATTGTTTTCACAAACTGTTTACAAATATTTGTCATCAGCAAATATATACATAAAAAACCAAACACACATAAAGCGCTAAAGAGTCATCACAATGAACAGTGACTTACCGTTTTGAAAAGCGAGATACGTGTCTTGAGTGTTGCACCGACAGCTGCAGGACTATCTTCAAGCAAACTAGCCAAAAGGATATATAACAATTGGCGCTTCGACAAGTCGTTGCGCATCTCCAGCTTGGTCACTTCCTTTACGTCATCTGTAAGCTTGCCGTTGCTGGTTGCCTGACTAGCGCTGTGCTCGGCAAAGAACCTTTTCAAGTCACCAATAATGGCTTCCTCCTGAGCTGCTTTGGCAGGTGTTGGCGAAGGTGTTTTGGCAGGAGGCGACCTATAGCAAAAAAGGCACGATGTCGATGCCATGTGTAAATTATTTTCTCCAGTTTACCAAGAATATCCGGTATCCCAGAAGCACCTTCACATATCCTTCCTTAGCGCAGCAACCCAAGAGATACTTTACATTTCAAGCTTTGCTTGTTCTTCCTTTGACAAGTGGACCACCTTCATCCAGGATTTGTTGGTTGGCTTTGAGGAAAATGTATATGAGTTTCCAATCAAAAGATGCCTCGTATGCGATATAATCTGATCAGGGGAGAAACCTTACGCTAATTCTACCGTTCATGACTTCTTGCAACGGCGAGTTGTTGGAATTACGTTCTTCTGTGACCCCAAGCTTTTCAATGCTCTTATTGGTCGTAGTAGAATTTGTAACTGTAGTAATACTAGTAGTTGTAGTAGTGTTGTTGCTGTTGGACCGGCCATTGTGTTTCACAGCAATCGGTTTGGGTATATCTTCGACCATATCCCTCCTTGACACGTCCGTGTGCTTCGGGTTGCCATTAATATGATATTTTAGGTTTTCATCGACAACCTTGTTACCATTGTTGAGATGGTGATGGTGATTGGTGCTGGTAGTGTTGTTACGATTGTTATTATTTAGTGTGTTGCTGTTATTATTGTGAGTTCGAGTTCGCCACGAGCCATCCGCCACCGATCTTTCTTCTCCGTGCTGATGATATTGTTGCTGTTGTTGCTGCTGCTGCTGCTGCCTGGAATAGCGCTGCTGCTGATGTTGTTGTTGTTGTTGTTGTTGTTGTTGTTGATATTGCTGTTGCTCCACAGGCGGTGAAGCGACACGATGTTGCTGCTGCAACTGATTGTTTTGGTTATGGTGGTGCTGTGGTTCTTGTTCTTGTTCCTCTTCAGTCCGTCTGCCATTACCATTCTCGCTATTGCTATTGTTATTGTTATTATTGAACACGGGTCTTTCCTTCAACTCTTGTGAACCGTGCGCTAACATGAGAAAGTTTTGCAGATATTTCCTGTTAGCTTTCTCCAACCATCTTTACCATCCCTTTTCTGTTCCTGTAACACTTCCCAACAGCAAGGAGAAATCACTCACCAAAGTGGCATTTTGGCCCATACTGGCAAAAGTTGTCCTTCATAAACCGGTCGCACAATTTGGTCTTGTACAAAGGGTTGCTCTCGGCATTTGAGGATGATGATGCTGCTGGTTTGGTTGAGCCAACAGAAGCAGCGGTCGTACCAGCAGACGCAGACGCATTACCAGGCGATGGCGATAAAGATGAAACGTTCTGGCTATTGCCATTGCTGCTGATGCCACCGTTATGATGCTGTTGCTGTTCCTCCTCTGGGGCACGCTCTCGCAATTCAGCAATACCATGGGCAAAGGTGCACTTGGATCCGTACGAGCACGTCCCTTCCTTTTCAAAACGCTCACAAAGTCGCGTCTTGTACAACGGGTTCATGGCTGCAGCAGATTCGTTCTGCTGGTTTTGACGTCGCTGCTGTTGCTGTTGATGATGTTGTGAAGAGGGAGACGACTGTTGTTGCGAATGATGGTGATTTTGATGGTGCGTCACCATACCATTCACTTGAGGAGAGGACCCGTTACGCATCGCTGCAGGCCCGTGCTGCTGCTGCTGCTGCTGACGGTGGTGGCTATGATGATGATTTCGCTGACGATGATCCATCGAGTCCCCAGCATTGTTCTCCCTATTGCGACGATTATGCTGACGCGCCTTCAACTTGTTTTCGATGAACTGTTGGGCGTACTTGAAGACATCCTCCATGCTCTTGAAAATTACTTTTTCGGTGGCAACAGTTTGGTTACACCATTGAAAATGCACGCCGTCTGCATTAGGGAGCAAACGAGCATGGTTGTCCAGTATCTGAGCCAAACGATAAACGACTTTCTTGGGACTAACGACAAAGACATGTACGTTGCATATCAACAACCCTGATCTAATTTCCCCACTTTCCACATCAAGTAGTCTCCCAAAAAGAAACTTATCATCAACCCTCAAATGCTTACCGAGTACCAGAAAGGTATTTGAGTTCAATTTTAAAACCTTCTTCCACGCGAAGATCCTTGGGGCTCAAGCCAGTTGCTTCAAACGTTTCACGCAAAGCACATCTAATGTGGATTGGAAACAGTTTTGACATTAGCTAAATTTATCTTCCTTTGTGCTTCTATGCCCTTGTCATTCTAAGTGATATATATAAAAAAGCTTACTTGACTTCGTCTTCTTGACCAATCACTTGCCCTTTGGGACAGAACCAGTGTTTTTTGTTTGTAAACGAGTCGTTTAATAATAGATATTCAACGTTTCTCTGCAACCGATAAATTAATAATCCAGCGTATAGATTGTTCTGGGAAGACTTGTCCATGTGGCGAAGGGGTGGAGAGAAAGGCAGGCGAATATAAATAAATCAAGGATTTAAAATGAGAATTAAAAGCAACGGCAATCAATCAGGGCAAGTGGCAGACGGCTTTGTGAAGAGCAAAAACAGGAGGCAAAGAAGAAGAAGCAAAGACGCGGGATGTGTGCGGATAGGCAAGTTCGAACGATTTGCAATTGAGCTTGATCGTGTGCGTGTTCTGTTGTTGCTATTGTTGTGGCGGTAAAAAGGTGTGTGTTTCTTTGTTTCGGTCTTTTGCAGAGGGAAAGAAGAGACCTGTGTGGTAAAGTCGAGTAGGTTCCTTTCGGATTCGTGTTCGGCAAAGTCTTTTCCCGGGAACCCTCCTTGCCCGGGCACACTACTACCTGGAAATCCAGAGGGTCAGCTGTTTTTGTTTTCAGGAGCAGAGTCCTTGCTGACATGGGACCTGGTCCACTTGTCGCAAAGGGAGCGTTTAATCAATAATACTTTGTTTGGTGTGGATCATGTTGGCCATGTGGTCAGCAGAAAAAATCACATAGCGATCAAATGGTAGAAAATAACTGTATTCTTTATTTATAAGCAATACTAACATGATAATACATCATCTGCTCTTTATATTGGTTCGAGCTCTAAATCTCGAGTAGCCAAAGTGAGAACTCAAGCTTGTGTGCTTGGGAAAGTTAAACTTTTACAGGACATTCTACCTGTCTCTATATAATAAAGGAACCATCATCACTAGAGGCAACATTTATGTACAGTATGAATACAACTGGAGTTATCAGATGAAGGCACTTTTCCAAAATACTGCCTATATTGCAGCCATGGTGGCAACTTTGCAACTTCATTTCTTTATAAGAGCGTCACATCTAGGAATACCATCCTTTGAATCTTGACTATGTTGTAATCGTGGATGAAACACTTTATGTGAAATGGTTCGAAAAAGCTGTAAGTGATCAAACTGAAGATTATCCCTCCAAGCACTGATTAACACAAGGCGTCTCCGTATGAAGCAACCTACCCTCTTCAATTAACACGTTTGACTGCTTGTCTACCTTTGAGACATACAAATCTAGAGAATAGCATAAACTTAATTACAAAGCTGCTCCCTTGAAGGATGTAAGCATATATTCGGACCTGCCAGCTGCAACAGAATAACATCGAGAAGTGGCATGCTTTTACAATGCATATGTACGGTCAAACCGAACCGCCTATATCAGAGCCGTGTAAGCACAAAGTACTCACCCGTACAGATGTGCTCATGCTTCCAATACACAATAAGTAGGATTGAGAATCTCGACAATACGTTGGCCTCACCAGCAACAAAACTGGGATCGTCATGACAGTGTGAAGAAACAACGCGGAGAAGAGTCAGTAGAAATGCTAAGAGAAAAAGAACAGAGAGATAGAGACCGGCAGCGCCTTTTTATCACGACTTTTATCGAATTGCAAACGTCCAGCTTTACTGGGAGAGTGAATTATAGTGGCTGGTTTCGCAGTTGATTGATTTGTTAGTAGTGGTATGAGAGGCAATATCTCCTATGGTCGGCCACCCACAAGCACTGGTCTTCGACAGCTCAAATTCATACGCGTATTCCTATAGCGTTATGCATGAGCGCATGCGCCGCACCGGAGAAGAAGAGAAAGTGTTGGTCCCTTTATCATACTCCTTTCCCTGACAATTGTCCCTTTTATATATTGTTTTAATCGCACATCACCAAAAATGACGAATAAAGACACTCTTGTATGCCTTCAACATTCGATACAAACCCTTCAGTAATCACGTTTTCTGGGCGCTATGCTTTCTTCGAACGGCGTGAAGGAATATAAACAAGGCATACGTTCGTTATGCAGTAAGGAGCACAAGATCCGGTTTGGGTAAGAGAAATATAAGCCAAAGAATTCATTGCATGGATGTCCTCATATAAACAAGTTTTTACATATCAAACTGCTTACTGTGCTTGGTGTTTGGATTAAATCTCCCGCATTAAAATATATTCTACGTCATCAAGACGTTATAGGATATTGGTACAACAAGCTTGAGGTCAAGCTCGGAAAAAATACTTTTGCAGTCAAAGGACCAGTGTCTATCCTTCACTATACAAAAACATTCAAAAAGTAGTGCTAGTTGTTACTGTATGATACTGCAGTCACGACGCAAGTGCACAGAAGGTATTAAAATAGTGCTACTACTAGTCGTTTAATATCGACTCTTTCTGTATCGTTTTAACACTAAATTACTCGATGTCTTATTTTTGCAGAACACGATACGACCAAGTCAAAACGCACAAAAACGAACAACCAGCAGCAAAATTTGAGGCATACCGTGTTGCTTATGACTTTATTAGCCTCATAACATATTATGATGACAGCCGACACATCCTTTTAAAAACAAAGCACGTAATGACAATTTCTGCAGCATCACTAAACATTATAAAAGATACTCACCTAAAACTGAATGGTATCCGCCGCCCATGGATATCACGAATAATTGTTAGTATTATATCATAGATCGACAAACGCACTGCCTCGTAAAAACCAAACCAGACCAAACCAATGCAAATGGGGAGGAGGTCGCGTAAGTTCAAAAATCTTTTTAAGCGAGCAAAAATAGACGAGTTATAGTATTACTTTGATTATCAAGCCTTAAAGTATTTAAGAGTACACAAAAGCAAATGCTCTTTTTGCACACGTAGATACACTGATATGTATTTTTAATACGTATTGCACAAAATTTTGTAACTTCAGGCATTCGATGCACCCAACCTTGCAGTACCAAAAATTCTACTTGTAAGCCTTACAAAAAAGGACAGGCTGAAGTTTGGTATACCGGATAGTGCATTGGGAACTTGCTACTTACCAATTGGTCAGTGTCGTGTGGTTGCCGTACAAAGGCAGTAAAAGTCGTTTTTGAGCTACACGTTCCCATAAGTTGTGCTACGACCGTCGTAAGGCAATTAGAGTTGTATTGGCACCCTGGCTGATTGTCCGACAGATGTTTATAGGTTATATCGCATGTTCGATGACGCCAGTGGTACGAAAATTCAAGTACAAGTTAAATTGAGGTACTACCTTGTTTCTGCTGTGTTCTCTCTCTCTCTCTCTCTCTTATTCCACACTATCTCGTACACTTTCATCTAAAAATGGTTCACTCAAGCATTATCGGTGGCGTCGTCACCCAGAGCGTAGAGTTCGCAGTGCGAAACACGGCGACAAGAGACCCTTTCGCCAAGTTTACCGTGCTTTGCGACAGTTGTTTTTGTGGCGTTTCAAGTGGTTTGACTCTGTCTCTATTTCTGAGTGACTTACACTGAGTGACAGGTTTCTGCCTCGCGCCCGGACGTGCTCATGTACCTGGTCGAAAACAACGTCGCGGAAGGCCACGCCGTGGTCTGCTACGGCAACTTCCAAATCTCCAAGTACCGCAACAACCGAGGCGTGATGGCCAACTCCTTCCGTCTGGCGGCCACGGTGGTGCACCTCGGCTTGCAGTGGCGCACGATCATCGGCGACATGGACGCGGACGCGCCGGTCGCGCAGGTGACAAGAGAAGACGTGCTGGAGCGCCTCGAGGCGACTGCAGCATTTGCCTCCCGTCCCTCCGACAGCCAAATGGCCGAAATGGAGATCGCAATCGCAAACATCGTCGCAGGATACTTTGCAGAGCGACGCTTGGGCAACTCGCTATCCGTCGCCCAGCAATTGTTCGGGCGACTAGGTCGTTGAACAACACGGACGTGGACGTTGACCAACATCCACAAGGGCTGCAAGAGGAACCCCATCGTACCCCTACAGTGGAGGATTCAGCAGAGCAGGCTCGCTTGCTTGAGCTTGAAGCATGATGCGCCGAGCTCATGGCTGAACATGAAGCAAGAAAGGTGGCTCTAGCAAACGAGCTTGGATTCTCTCTGCGCGAGGTGGAGAAGAGGTGTGCGAACAATCTTGCACCGCTTGTCGTCACCACCAAGGCGATAAGCCCATGGAACCTTTTCGTTTCGATGCGTAAGCAAGAGGAGGATCGGCTCCGTCAAGATGGAGCTACTGAAGGTCACTGTCGTATGAATATTAACACTACTATATTAATTATCATTCTTGTTAATGTCAAACTAACTTTTCAATACAACTCTTCTTATAGAAGAAACGATCCAGCAGCGCAACGTACGCTACGGCGCTGAGTATCAAGCGCGCAGGGATGAACGTCCCATGTTCCAACAATTAGCAACGGAGCATAATCTTGAAGCAGGCTTTGAAGGCTACATAGCGCCAAAAGCTATGACTCAAAAAACCCAGCAGCTTCGGCTAAACTACGCCGAAGAAGCTCATAAAGCTATCAACAGGCAGCTGAGCTATATCCAGAAAGTTACTGGTATTGAAGCTTTTGTCTGTTTTGGATATCCAAAGGTTCTAGGCAATCAAGCCCGCCGTTTGGATACGGGGAGATCGATTGGCACAGGTATACTCTTTATCAATTATTATTTATTTTTTCAAGACTGGTCGCGTTTACTAAAGAGCATACAGAACTGGGAGTGGAATTCTGCGACCTTTGCCAAGCTTTGAATGAAGGTCCCAAGTACGCGGGACTCAGAAAATGTTCGATTTGTTTGTCATGTCACGTTCCAAAAGTACTGGTAAGTCGCAATAAGTGATCGCATTAATAACGTACTTATTATGAGTAAGCAGATTATTTTCAGTACATTTACAATCGTGCAAATGATATTGAGGACGGAAGAGCTCGCCAGGATTGTGGTCCTAACAACAAACGACGACGTAATAAGGTACCTCCTCATTCATTATGAGCGCACATATACAGAAATGCTAATTATAACATCAACTTCACAGGACCCAATGACAGAATGGTGGAATATATCCAAACCGAAGTGAAATCCCTGTATAGTAAGTGTTTCCTGTGCTTCATTTAAATAATAATGATTCCAAGCAATATTATTAGATGCAGTGGCTCCAGAGTTTGGTAAAATCACCACCAGCGTCCCATGGAATGCTCTGCGGAAGGGCGAGGATCGTTATGTCGAACTGGCACTACCACTGCCTGATGGAGTCCACTTCAAAGAACCAACCAAGGAGTTGAAACCAGATGAAAAGCACGCTTTGGAAAAAGCTTTAGAGAGTGGAAGCATTAGATTAGTATCTAAATAATATTAACACTTATTGAACCTTCTATACTACTAGTTGCTGTCCGATATATATGAGACACATTGGAAACGACCCAAAAGGGTTGCTGGTTGATGGATTACTGAACATTGCTCAAAATGGGCTGGAAAGTTGGAATTTGATAAGAAGAAACATTACAGTAGGTATGATATGAGTGCAAAAAAGAAAGGAAGGACTATGGGGTAATTATAGGATATTTCTTACTGCTTTACACAAGCATACTTTGGGGTCGCTTTTAGTATTGATATTAAGGAGTTAACTTCGGGGATTGGCTTGGTCACAAAACTGAGTCATCAGCCAAATTGTTGTTGGGTAATCTGCTTATAGGTGTGGTCTAGTTTCATGAAGTGATTTGCTGTAGGAGGATGCGGCGCTGTTGTTAAAGGCGTTTGGCTGTCCTTTTACGGTAAGATTGGTTCTTGCGGCCAAACTCTTGCGCGACTTTCTTGAACATCGACTTGAACAGATCCCAAGCTGCTGGTGCGGGGAGCGAAGGCAGGTGGAGCTCGGTCGCTGATAAGAAAGCTTCTAGGTCGTCTAAAAACTGTGGATTGTGAAGGAAAGTGGGGTTGAAACGCCAGAGACCAGGTCCTGTAATTTGGAGCCCTGGAGCGATCGAAGCGGCGACTGCTGCGTGACCACGATGGGCGACATATTGGTGTTCTGCTTGGCCGGCGGTTGCTGCAAATGTCGACGAGAAAAGAATGAAGTCAATAGTGGATATGTGGCGATAAGTTGACAATGATGGCTGGAGCGTGGATGAATGGTGAGGATCGTGCCAGTTTGTATGGATCCATTGTAGCCAGGCCTGCATATGCGGAGAGGTTGAGCGTTCCGTGTGGATATTGTGATTAAAGTCACCCAATAGAATACTACGAGGTGATGCAGGGCGGTCAAAACGGAGAAGGTGTGAGAGTTGTTGAAAGAAAGGCGGTCGGGCAGCGCGTTGTGCTGGTGCATATTCTACTACGCGCACGACAAAACTTGACCTCGCGCACGACACTTGTTTTGGTAGTATAGTATTCCGCAGTTGTCGTCGCACGGTCTCTCGCACAGTTTGAAAGACCCTGCGCACGACAGAACTTTGATGGTATATGCCGACTAACTTGAATGTTAACATACCGTGTATCCAAATGGCAAGCAAACAACTTTGTGCCAACATAAGTATTATAATATAGTGAAGCACAAGCGAGACGATTTCTTAGTCAGCACAAAAAGACGTAGCTAAGACTATAGAAAAGTGGGTAGACGGTGCACCAAGTGTTTTCAACATTTTAATATCAGTGACGATGATGGTATTGGCTGTAAAGATATATCCTGTGTTTCGTCTTCTTAAACCTGGCAGATCTACCGTTGTCACGTACTTCTATTCAATTACAATTTTGACAGTCAGTGTGATATTCGATGTATATGTATACAGTATGTATAATGAAAAATGGTAATAAAATATGTCAACCAAATAATTGAATATTAGGAGAGCGAAGAAAAAAACATGTAGTAAGAAACAAGGAATCAGGGAAATAAGTGTTTAAATGATTATGAAGAACAATTGAATCTGGAGACAAGGCACAAGAGCTTGAATACGAGACAAGAAGAACATAAATCGTCGAGTACGTTGAGGTAAACGACTACTGCCAAAAAAAATTGTCGTGCGCGAGATCAATTTTTGCCGTGTGCAGGGTCTTTCAAACTGTGCGAGAGACGGTGCGCACGACAACTCGTGCGCGAGGTCAATTTTTGTCGTGCGCGTAGTGGTTCCCTTAATAAATAGCTGACGATGAATTTTCTGAATTCACGGGAGTTACTTAGAGAACACGGATTCCAAAACATGGAAAATTACCGACATCGCTCGAGAGCTTCTTACTAGATAGCTGTCGATACCTAATATGACAAGACAAAGTGGACAGCATCACGCAAACATTTACCTGCTACTGCGATCAGGGGAATGACGCACGTATGCACATTTGACAGTTCAAAAGACTTCTGTGAAATAATACATCGTCGTCATGCGAAGCATCTTTGCTCGGTCTGTGATAGAAGAGGAAGTGAATAAAGTGCAAGGATCGCTTGTCGATGTATATCATATTAATGTCACGGTTGCTAATTGTAAAGCATCTTTACACAGCACAAAGAATATACGTACAATGAGGAATTGCGTGGAGACGCATTTGAAATATTATTAGAGGGCATCGACTCAAAAAAGGTGAAACAGAAAAAACATCGTGAATGATGACCGAAACGCGAGCGAGACATTTAAAGTGGCTCCAAGCGAAGGATATCAAACCGTTGCCGTTGCAATAGAAAGTTCGAATGTTGTGTGAGGCATCGTATGTTTGCATGATCACGTTGTTATATCTATCGACATATGTATTTACTGACAGATTCATGCTCTATATGTAGCAAAAAAGGCAAAAAGCCAGACAATAGATTATACTTAACCAGCGAAGCGATCTTCCCTGAAAAATTTTCAACAATCCACAAAAATATAAAGCAGCATAATGAGTGCTTCGACACCCTTGCTAGACGAATCATTGCCGCGAAGGCTCGATAAGCACGGAGTTCCTCTGCCGGCACGATGCAAACGGCAGTCCTTACCGGCGGAGACCTTCTTTTTTCCCTTGTTGTGTTGTCAATCCATTGAAATTGTTTGTTAAATGGAATGAGCGGCGCATCCTGCTGCAATTGGCCCGAGCGTGCCCCTTGAACCAGGTATGTAGAATAACTCAAGGCGATCCTTTTGGCTTCTAGTCCATAGTGGAAGAGTATATATTCCCGGGCGTGAGAAAGCTGTAACTTCAATTGCTGATAACCGCCAGACGTATTCATTCACTATAAATATGATATTAGCGCTATCGTATAGCAGAGCGACCGTCTTTAAGAGTCGTCAAACGACGAGATATGGTATCAAACACATGGTTACGGCGATGTACAGTACTAGATTCGGTGCTCTTGTTGAACCAAATGTATTGAGCGAAAAAGGTATGAGACCGGGACCGGCGTTAAGCGCAAGCCACGATGATGGTACTGAGAAATCCTGTATTCAAAATCATAGAATAGAGTGCCACGCCGCTGCAATGAAATTCTTAAAGAAAGCTCGCCAACAATGCTCATAATTTCAAAGATGATACGCCGGTATACAAAAAGAAACATAGTGATGTGTTTGCCTGTGAAGACGAACCTAAAAAAGCACTGGAATCCGGGGTGAAGACAGACATTAAGAAAAGCCAGGAACTTCATAGGGAACGTCAACTACTGTAGCCCAGATTCAGCTTATTCAGCTGGTGTTTAGACTACATCAAAAACTATACCTTTAGTTCTTGAACGATAGGTGAGTTAAATAAGAGGCTTCCTGTTGGAACGTCCGTGAGTGTAGGGATGAAATGTCATCGTGTCTCGAGTACTGCTTGCATCACAGTGGATGTCGTTGTATGGTCTCATCTTCGCTATATACTGGAAACTTGTCTTTTCGTGTGATCGAATTTTAACGCAGATAGCTCATACAGAAATGAAAGACATTCTTCTTTGGGTACGATTACGGGTGGAGAACACCATGGGCTGTCACTTGGAACGAATCACTTTCTTCTCTAGCATTTTCTTTACTTCAGCCTGGTGATTTTGTTCCTTGTTCTTCTTCTTTTTCTATTGTCGCTAAAGGTAGTAAATTTGGGGTTTCTGCTTCCTCGTTATAATGCGCACTCTTTTTTCTTTTTCAGTCGCGATTCGAACATCTTCGTCTATTGTAGTCGTAAATCGTCGCGCTCTGATGGTTATTGATCATAGTTTTCATGTGTCCAATCCTGTCGGAGACTCATTTTCTTTAGTCTTTAATGGGAGAATTCCCGCAGCACAACAATCGACTTTTTTTCTCACTCGTGCAATTACCACCCTTGAATATGCGAAAGGTTGATATTTCAATGGTAGCCATATAGCATAAATACTAAAGTTGTCAATAGTTTTTACCAAGTGTTTTAGCGAAGAGCAAAGTGCTCCCTCGTTAAAGAAGTTTGTTTTTGGGCGAATCTTGACTATATTGGTACAAGTATCTTTGGTAATGTCGTCAGAACTTGGAGAGCCAGATTTAAAAAAGAAGCTTTTTTATGTATATATAAAAGCTAAAAAACAAAACGAGGTTTTCTTTACTGACTCTTATAGAACTTGTCGTACATATTGAATAGGAAAAGCTGAACAATCAAGCATCCCGAAAAAAAGATGCGTGCAACTCCTGTCTACTCCTTGTCAACTCCCTCCTCAAATGGCAATGTTAATGCGGCTCATTCGTTCATATTAAACATTTCCAATCCCTGTTGGAGCAAAGTCTTTAAACCATCTCAATTAACCAAGATCCATAACGACTACGTGAAAGAGTTGCCACCTGTACAACAAGAAATGAAGACTTTTCATAAAAACTTCAAGAACATGGTACGTTGTTTATAATTGTATTGAACAACAAAAGAAAACAAGTAACAAGAGCATTGATTTGATCGATATATAGACTGATGTGGAACAACTTTGGAACATTGCTGAAGAGCATCGATTTCATCCAATCGCCAAATTTGATCTCGACTGGTCTCGACGTTCGATCCTCGATATCCTTTCCTCTTATCGCTGGGGCAGCGTTCAGCGTGCAGCAGTGTCAGGCGGCGAACGTGACCTCATCATGTTGATTTGGCGTGCTGTGGATATGTGTTTTCAGAACCTTAAAGTGGATTCATTAAGGTAAATCTCAAGTTTAATTTTAATTGGTATAGTAGGGTTCTCGGGACTGAAAGTAACAAAGGGAGTGTGTGTCTATTGCTTTTTTGCTGCTGGGTGCATTGTACGCGCAGCTCACTAAACAGAGGGCCAACCCACTTTAAACAAATTCGGACTCACCCCAGAACAGGAATAAGGTAAGGCTCTCTCTCTCTCTCTCTCTCTCTCTCTCTCTCTCTCTCACATTATAATCTGTTGATTTTTCCACTCTTCATCTTTTTTATTTTACTACTATTATTACTGCTACCTAATATACCGTCAGCAGCAACAAGTATACCCACTCTTTCCCAAGTCACTATTACTACTTTTACAACAACAACAGCAACAACCTATCAATATATTACTTTTCTATTTCACCGTTCCAACTAATCGTTCCATGACAAAGATGACGGACCTGATGTAACGAATCGCTTCATTGTTTAAAAAGAACCAGCAAGAAGATATACCAGCAAGATTACCTTCGAGTTTGACACGAATCTACAAGGTTTCCAACCGTACCTTGGGTGTTGGTTCTTTTGCCGTTGATAAGCTTTGCACGCATAAAAGCCAGGCCAAACATCGCATTGAAAATTGTCATGAAAAAGGCTATTGCAGGTAACATATACCTCTTTATTTTTATTTCAAAAAATAGCGCCTGGGTGGTTTGGTTTCTTTTTCATGTTTATGCAAAGTTATCAAACAAAAAAAAGCAAGGCAAGGAGTATATGCTTGAGAATGAATCAGGTAAGTCCCTCCTCTTTTCTTCCGCGTTTCCGATGGGAGATGATAGACGGCAGGGTCGGAACTTAATCAATCAAATTTAAAATTTAGACGTCTTGAAGCAAGTTCGACATCCACATTATATCAATGCATGGACTATTCGAAGACGCGCATGCTGTATATATCGTGGCCGACCACGCCAAAGGTGGCGTTGTTTCAACAGCTACTACGCAAAGGATCATATACCGAGCGAGACGCCTCGAATCTGGTGCGACAAATATTAGAAGGATTGGCTTACCTCCATGAACACGATGTAAGTGGTTTCTATATAAATTGCAAAAATAAGTCGAACGCAAGTGATTTTTTTTTATAAAAGTGGAAGAATTAAGCACATGTGTTGGATTTCTCGTTTTCGCGCACACTCATACTATGTTGCTATTCATAACAGCTACTGTTTGAAACAACCGAAAACGAAGATTGATTGATGATCACAGACTTTGGCTTGTCAAGGATTATCAAAGACCATGACGGTATCTTGATGACGGCATGTGGTACACCGGGCTATGTAGCTCCAGAAATCCTTTTGCGCACTGGCCATGGTACACCTGTGGATATATGGAGTGTTGGCGTGATTACAGTAAGCTCTTTCATAGCTATATGTGTATCGATAACGGTTATCACATCACCTATAGTACTGAAAACGCCCTTTTTACCCGCTTTAGTATACCTTACTTGGCGGATACACGCCAATCTGGGGAGCTGATGAGGCCACCTTGTTTGATAGCATTATTCGAGGACACTATGAATTCGATGAAGAATATTGGAGCGATAATCCTGCATCAGGTATTACTTTTTGTCTGTGTATTCTACACGCTTTCGTGGTGAAAAGGAATTATTGACAGTGGGGAGAGGGGTATAGAAGCTAAAAACGATGACTAGTCGTAATCATCACTAATAATATCTCATCTCAAACTTCTCCATGTTTTTATTTTACTGATTGATGCTGACGATGGCTTATATAGCAAAGCATCTAATAGATTGCATGTTGCAACTAGATCCGGAGAAGCGGATTACGGCGACCGAAGCATTACAGCATCCATGGATCTCACAAGGCCGTGCTAGTGCTACAGATCTGATAGCGAATATACGGAAAGGATTCACAAATCGTCAATCGTTTAGATCATTTACAACAGCTGTCTCGCAAAGCAATAAACAAAATGAAAGGTCAAGCATCTTTTTGCTCTAAACCAAGAATACATAATGTGAATGTACAAACAAATATGTATGTAAACAAAAAATAGTCCTTATTTTCTGCGGGATATAACTCCGGTTCCGGAGCAGATTATGACGGTTGTTTGACAGCGTCAAGAAAAGAAATTATATATAGATAAAGTCCTAGTGGCACTTGGAATATGTATCTTGTGCTGATATTACTTCGACGATTAAAATGTAGCATTGCGAGTTAGCTTAATACTGGGGACGTACATACTACGAGTACAAACCAAAAAAAAACACCCTATGCGCTTCCGCAAACGTAGATCGACATATACTCCACTTTTCCAAAGCGTGTAAATCGGCATTTCTTACTAGTTAATGCATGAAGAGGATTTCACCCTTGGTAACTTTAAAGCGTTTCTAGTTTCAACAAATATAACCTAAGGGCTTTCTTCACATCGATTAAACGAACCCGCATCCTTGAATATGTACATATCTCGATAGCACCAATTACAAATAGCATCGGTAATCGGTTACATTATCTGGCAGTCATCACTTGTTGGAAAATAATGATCTTATCTTTTTAAAAAGGAAACTCTCAAAGTGTTTTCGAAAGTATGTAACGCCTGGTTAGCTGAACCAATAGTACGTAAATATGTTTGTGCATGTGTGCGACGATCAGCGTATCGCAGTACACATATAAAAAGTTCTCAAGTCCATATAGACGACCAATGCTCCGGTATATGCAAGTACAACAATCATTGTCAAAAAAGGAGCGAGGGAATAGATATTGGCTATCAATCATCACCCCTCCTTAAGATTTAACAGTGGCCTCCTGTGCACGTTGGTGGAATTTTCAAAATACATACCAGCATCGTTGGATGGTTCAACAGAAGATTCAACACTGCTGCTGGTGACCTTGGATTGAGCGCCATTATCAGCAGGAAAGAGTTCGATGCTGTTCTTCTTGGTGGTTTGTGCTTGGGCAGAGGATGAGATAAGAAAACTATGCAAAACAGTAATGATGGTTTAATCTTACAAAACCGGCATCGTATGACACCTTTCATTCCAGTCTGATATCTTCATATCATACTTTTGTTATTACGCTCTCATGTACAGTATACCACCTACGTAGATCCGCAAAAGCGAGTTTGCGTTTTCATCTGCATGTCTACAGCGATGTTGCTTTTCCCTAGAGCGACTCACGATGTATGCGCATATTCGATATCGACTATCCTCTAAAGTGTAGGAAAGTCTATTGTGCATGGATGTAATGTAGACTCGCATCATGTCTTCTTAAGATGAAGCATTCGTTGTAGTATGTATAAATATATACGGTATCCGCAATGCTTATATAAGCACTTTTATCATAGCCACAGTGCCATTATGCGATTAGCTTTGTGAATTTTCCGTTATAGACACCGCCTGCTGCGTATCAGCAGAAGTGCTTTTTGATATCAAGATACGCCTCCTCAGTAACCACCCTTAGCTCTCGTCTGCTACTTTTTATTCTACGTCTCTTGAGCTTCTTGCGATACCAATTACTGACACAACGGCATTGGAGCTGCAACACTGTACATATTGAAATCTTATAGTTGCCTGTTGAACATTGATTTTGCGTATTATGCTTGTAAAGGTACCAGTGGTAGCACTAGGGCAACTAGGTAATGTTGTACAAATCTCGTATTTGGTCTTACTTAAGCTATGGCTCTCAATGTGGAGCAAAGAGTTCGATGCCATCGCACACACCACCACTTTATCTATCATGTTGAGCATATCATATTTATGAATGTAATTATTTTTATGACGGACACAGTGGGGTTTTATTTACGATTTCCAAGTCAAAATACACCGCTTTTCATTTGTTTTTGGCAAGCATGTAAGTATCGTAGAAGGTTCGCGTTGTTGATATGCATCTTTTCACTAGCTGCTGTGTTAATATGTCAGATACGTACATTAGAATCAGGCCAAAGCGATTATCCGTCCAACGACATAAGTATCCATAACAACAATGTAGCTCGCCTTACATATATTATCACGACTGGTGCTTTGCGTATACGCTCCTTTTGGGCTGTTACAGTAGGTTTCATAGGGGTACTGTAATTTTTACGTACTTCACCTTACTTTTTATGCAAAAATTTACGTACTTGGCCACCCGAAGTACATAAATGTTATGAACATTCTCGACCTCCAGTAAGTGATCATCCTCGACCTCGTTGATGACATATTAAATCCCCATCCATCATCATCATCCGAATCATCAACCTTAATACCAATCTTTCCGTTTATTCACATCATTAAATTCTATAAGTGAAAGATATATATATATCATAGTTTTTGAATGATAAAACATCAGTCAGTTATCTTGTTTCCTCCCTATACAGTCAACCCCCGTTTTTTGCAGCCATGGGATTTTGGGAGATTAGGCTGCAAAAAGCGAGAGGCTGCAAAATACGAACGCGTTACACAGGGCAAAATTTAAAGCCGTGAGCTGTCATTAATTATACACCAATGACAGGGTTACTGTAGTAACTGAGAAATATAGTACTGAGACCGACCCAGTTTGTTTATTCCTTTCTCCTCCCCCTTTTCTACTATCCTTAATGCCACCAAAGGCTGATTACATAAAGTTTACCGAAGATCAAACCGATGAGATATAGTAATAAGAATATTCAATGACAGGGTTACTGTAGTAACTGAGAAATATAGTACTGAGACCGACCCAGTTTGTTTATTCCTTTCTCCTCCCCCTTTTCTACTGTCCTTAATGCCACCAAAGGCTGATTACATAAAGTTTACCGAAGATCAAACCGATGAGATATAGTAATAAGAATATAATAGAACATCTTGATTTTAAATAATTTTGATCAGACAGCTGATAAGAATATATAGATGGTCGGGTCAAAAATTCGGTGTATATGCTTAGTGGGAAATTGCAGGGCACCTTTTTGGACCTGCAAACTGCAAAAAGCGGGGAATCTGCAATTTTTATAAGTGAAAAATGGGATTTATCCAAAGTTTGCTGCAAAAACTGAAGGCCTGCAAAAAGCGGTCGTGCAAAAAACGGGGGTTGACTGTACCTTGTTCTTGTTTCTTGCCTCACCATCTGGTCTCCTACCTTCTTGATTTCCTCCTTGTCTTGTCCTGTTCTTGCTGAAAGCACCTAGCACATTCTCGTCCGGTGTTTCTGTCCTTGTCTTGTCATGTCCCTGTCCGCATCCTACAGTAAATCAGTTCTCGCGCTGTATATTTGTATTATAAAATCTTACGTACTTCTCATTTTGGAGTTACATACTTCCGATTTTACGTACCTGCTGTATATGATTTTTACGTACCTTGAGCGCTAAAAGGACCATACATGTTGTTGTTGTTACTTTGAAAATTTTGTATATATGATCAAATTTCACGGAAGGGCAAGAAAGCCCACACTATGTTTTAAGGTACGTAAAGGTTGATGTACGTAAAAATTGGTGTTAGTGAGATTGTATGACTAGTGAGTGTAAGTACTCAAGGAACGCGCTCAGAAAAAAGAGACCGGTTATCCTGCCAGAGCGACTACTTTACCTGCAATCGCCGAAAATGGAAGTACGTAAAAATTCGCACTACACTCCTATCAGTTACCAAGGACATATAATTCCAGTATCTCCCCAATTACCTTATATCTCCACACACCTTTGTATCGCTGATCACTACCATATCTAATCGTTATACCACCATCTGCTTCCCTTGAGCTACCTGTAGCTGCGGGGACTTCCCTTTCAATGAACAAGTCCTCGTAAATAAACTAATTTGGATGTCCGCCTCTTTTACGAGAACAGACTGGTTAACAGACCCATGGCTCTTTCCGATTCTCAACAGAAACAGCCCGACCGCTACGCGGGCACCACTCATCCACCTTCTATCTACACCTCTTCCCCCACTGTCCTGACATGGGCCAAGGTAGCTCAACCCGAGAGGGTTTCCTTGGTTCTCGCTCATCGGGACTCACCCTCTTCCGACCAGACAGCGACCATATATTACTCTCGTACCTGGCGTATTGGTCGCAGTGAAGGCAGCGTGCTCTTTGATGTTAGCCCCGTCCCTGGCTCCAGTGACGATGTTGTTGCCACTCTCATGGCCGAATTTCCTGACAATTTTGGCATCATTATCCATCGTGAAGGCAAACGCGTGATCTTTGAGTTCAACGCGAAACATGACTCAGAACGCCAACGTGTCCTTGAACAAGGTTATAAATTCACCAAAGACATCATTATCCGCGCCACTCCCGCTTTGGACAAGACCTCGCAGGTGAAAAAGTTGCGCCTATCAAACCTACCTCTCCTAGCACCTGAAGACCTTGAAAGAGGTCTTCGCACAACCTTCGAACCATACGGTCGCATCCTGGATGTAGGGATCAATCGCGATCCAAAGACCAAAGCGTACATGGGTAACGGTTTTGCAGTTTTGGACATTCAACCCCGTTCAGATACGCCAAACCGCCCGCTTGATCATCATGTGCCCTGGCGTAATGACCCAGATGACCTGATATACGCCAATTTTGATCAGATGCCCCTATACTGCTCGCGATGTCATGAGCCGAACCACTCTGCGGACGATTGTCCTCGATCCCGTAGAAACCAAAAGAAGCGTTGCCAACATTGTGCCTCTCCGTCGCATCAGTCCTCGATTTGCCCGTCTATCCGGAATGACCCCCAATGGACACCAGGTCAATCGAATCGTAGCCGGCGCAAAATGGGCCATAAACAAACCGAAGCATCTGCAGAGTTACTGAAATCGGCCCACGCGCCATCCAAAACGGAGAAGAATCCTAAACCGACCACCAATAACAGCAACAGGTACGCTGCTTTGGAGGGCCTAGACGCGACTGCCTCGTCTATCACCACCGGGCAAGGAACCTCGCTCACCACCCCAGCAGCAGTATCTGCGAAGCCCGAACAGACAAACAATGTCCCGTCTTTTAAGCTTAGTAGCTTGATGGACATGGACACCGCAGCCGACATGCAAGCTTACGCGGACTTGGAGAGTTTCATGGACCAGCGCGTCATTTACTATTTGGGCGATGGTACGGAGGAGGGAACCCCAGCTCCTGTACACACTTTGAATTTGGCGACCACGAACATGGCCCCTCTGACACCCGATTGGATTGATCAACTTGAGCTGTCCGATGGGTGTAAAGTTACAATCCAAGAAGACAACCTGACGGTAGACCGTCAACAAGTGCTATATACATTGCTTACACAAGATCGCGAGCAATACTTCCAAGACGACTTGCTACTATGAATCAACTACGCTCGGGTATTACAGGTGGTAACCCGGGCGGAGAAGTACGTATCAATGCAGATGAGATCTCCGCTGGTGCCACCCCAACCCTCTCATAAAACAACCTGTATTTAATATGATATTAACCAAAAACGATATATCAATTTTGTCCATCAATGCTCGTGGACTTCTACAAAAAAACAAAAACACCAAAAACAACAAATCACAACTTATACGCTATCTCCGTGAGCAACAACCTCACATCATCACCCTACAAGAAACGCATGCTCATGACGACGACGTCCAGGAACGCCTTCATCAACAGTTTTGCGCCACACAATCATTCTGGACCAAAGACTGCGGCATTGTCTCTCTTTGTCCCGACATTCAGCTCACACGTATTAATATTCTCGACGACTCGCGCCATATACTCGTCCGGGTCGAACATAAACAAAACAGCTTCGCACCCTTCTACACTATCACCATATATGCACCATCATCAAGTCACACAGCTCGACGACGATTTTTTGCAACACTCTATAACTCACCAATTTTCAACAATCAACACCCGTATCGCCAAAGGCTGGTCCTCACTGGCGATTTCAACTACAGCTACAGACGAGCCGACTACCGGCCAAATGCACCAACTGACTGGCACACTCTATTACAAGAGGAATTCACCAATTGCCTCAATCCATCAGCCGATGAAGTCCCGTACCCTACTTTCAGGCGCGGCGACTCAACTATGTCAACGATTGACTACATTTTTGCTTCACCCGTATTTACTAATACGGTGAAGGCGAGGGAAGTTTCATATGTGGCATCCAGCTGGACGGATCATGCATTATTATTGACTACTCTTCATCTGGGTCCCTCTAGCACAGGAAAGGGTTGTTGGCGTGGAAACCCTCTCATCCTTGGCTATAAGGACTTCCGCAAACAACTCGCACGACGCATTACGCTTTTCTTCGAGGAGGTCGATAGCTCCAGTAGTCCCCAACACCAATGGGATCTACTCAAATCTGCACTCAAAAAACAAATGCAAAACTACAGCCGACAACTCATCAATCGCTCCACTGCGCACCTGGCTAGACTACAAGCAAGACGTAACCAATTCCTCCGCAGGAAACCCGATCAAGCAACACGTGCATGGATCCTACCAAGCCTCGAAAGACGCATTGAAGCCGCCCAAAAAGCTGTATGTGACACCCTTGCTCTCCGTGCGAACACACGCTGGCGAGAACTTGGCGAGACCTCTGCTGGGTACTTGAAAAAGACAGTAGCACAGCGCACATCACAAATGCACATGCCACCGCTACAGCATCCTCAAACTGGGCAACTCTGTGACACCATTGACACTATGCATGATGCCGCCGAAACCTTCTACAACAAACTCTACACACCAGAGCCGATCGACAATGCAGCAATCCACGAGTTACTCAACAGCATACCGACTCACATACAGCTTGATGATGAGACTCGAGACTGTCTCACAAGCAGCTTTACCATGGACGATCTAAAAGAGGGCGCGTCCCGTACCCCGAAGAGAAGTAGCCCCGGTCCTGATGGACTTCCTTATGGCATTTGGCACTTGGTTTTCAACCATCCAGCTGCCGAACGTCTGATCACTCATGTATATGATGATGCACTTACTCATGGTATTTTCCCCCAATCATGGACAGAAACCTGCATTCGTTTGCTTCCAAAAAAAGGCGATCTGGCCTCCCTCAACAATTGGCGGCCAATCTCTTTGATCAACTGTGATGCAAAAATCTTTACACGCATGCTCAACAAACGTATTGTCAACAACGCCAGTGATCTTATCAATCCGCAACAAACTGGTTTCATGCCGGAACGATTTATCGGGGAAAACGGCCTCACCACCAGACTAGTTATGGATAATGCTCAACAGAACTCGTCCTCGGCCATTGCTTTATTTCTTGATCAATATAAGGCATACGACCGCATCCACCCGAATTACTTGACCACAGTACTACAGCATTTTGGATATCCGGATTCGCTCATCCACAGCATCACCGCTCTTTTTTTCAGCACAAAAATTCGTCTCAACATCAACGATCAACGGCCATTTAAGCCAACCTATACAACAACAACGTGGTTTACGTCAAGGTGACCCATTGTCGCCGATCCTTTTCAACCTGGCTATGGAACCTCTCCTGCGTGCAATACAAGGAGATCGAGATTTTCAAGGCTACCAATATCAATCGGTTTCTACAGGAATAGTATCAATTCCACCTCCTCTTCCACTTAAAGCTATCGCCTATGCTGACGATATCTGTGCTTTTATACATAACGAACAAGACTTTGCCAGGCTACAACACCACATGAAAACATATCAACTAGCCTCCAATGCCCTGTTCAACAAGCACAAAACACAAGCTCTCTCACTCAGTGGCGCTCCGCAACCCGAGTGGAACGCGATCCTTGCCGGCCAAGGTATCGCACCATGCCACGATCGCTCTTGCCCAACCCCTCTTGTCTACCTCGGTTACCCCCTGGCATCGTCAAAACCGCAGCTCAAGTTCTTCCTTGACCAGATGCTGGTGAACATACAACAACACTGCCAGGTGCATCAGCAGCGCGGTCTATCCGTTCGCGGTCGAGCCCTAGTCCTGAACACCTTGATATTATCAAAGCTTTGGCACGTTCTCCGCATAGTTGGCGCCAATGATCATGCTTTCCATGCGAAACTCCGTAGCATTTGTGGCAAGTTCTTAATGCATCGGATGTTCCCGACTGTGGCGTATTCCAAATTATGTTTACCACGATCAGAAGGTGGTATCGGCTTACTCGATCCAATGACTCAACAGAATGCCCTCCAGCTGCGGTGGATTCAACCCATGCTGGAGGAATCGGGTATGTATCCTCAGCATATTCTACTTTTAATCCATCAAATACTCGCCACCGCCAAATTTCCATCAGATCACCGGTTGCTGTTGGCGGACCCACATGCAAGGAAAATAGGCGCCATCGATTCTTCTTCTCCCGTATCCTTGGTTTACCGCGCTGTGGACAAGTTGGACATGGACTGGGAGGCACTTCGGATCACCAAAGCAACGGCACTACAATTACCTCTGAAAAGTGTTATTGCGACTATCCCCTCAGTGCCCCAACCACGTCGACCTGGATACAACAAACTGCAAGTCCGAGATTTGTTTTATTACGACGCCACACACCAACATTTACTACTACGACAAAGAAATGATCCAGCAACAAGGCCGATCTTGCTTACACGATTTATGCATGACCTTGCTGCCTTTCGCTTCATACTGAAACCATTTTTCGCTCGTTTATGCCTCCCACCACACCATACTGGTGGTGGCCATCCCACAACACCTGGTGATACCGACTTCACACCATTCAGCCGTCAGCTACTCAATCAGCCTGGAATCACCGACAACAACACCAAACACTATCGTACTGCCATCATCGCCCGACTCCACCCGACGCCACCCTACTCTACAGTAAACTGGCATCTCTTTTGGAAAACGCCTATGGATCATACCACCAGAAACATTTTTTACCGGATTTTCCATGGCACACTGCCCACCGCAAGTCTACTTTACCAACGCACTACCAATTTTTTGCCGAATCGCACCTGCTCTATTTGTCGCCAAGATGAAGACACCCGTGACCATTTTTTGGTGCAATGCCCCCTCAAACGGGCGGTCTGGATAAATGTTTGGCAACACTTCATGCATAGCGATCCGAATCTCGAGTCTACCTTGATCTTTATTACAACATGCAAGAAACCGTATCATCATTTCACTGCCAAGCAATTACTATGCTTTCTCTCATACATTATACTACATATTTGGCGCGCCCATTGGAACCATATCTATAACAATATCCCTTTTTCTTCTTCACATGTATCCGCAGATGCCATACATGCGATACAAACTTATATGGACCTTTAAAAAAAAAAAAACCAACACCAAACCCCTTTCTTATATATACCTACTTCTGTATCTGTATCTTTTCGCTCATCAGTGTTTTGCGGCCGCAGGCACATTACTTCTTTTGAACATGTGACTTGTATTTTAATAAAATCTCAGGAGGCTATCCACCTCTCATACAAAAAAAAAAAAACAGACCATTTACAAGCACCGCTGCGAGTGCTCTTACTACTGATTGCTAACTAGTGATGGTGTATTATCAATGTATGCTAATGACGCCGCGCTTGATGGTTTGTATATGCTGATGAAGGCGCGCGTGATGATCATCTGGTAACGCTGTTATATTCAGTTATCTCACACCATCTGTAATATGGGTCGGGTGTTCAATATCGGAAGAAGATCAGAAGAGAGAGGGAGTGTAGAAGAATAGCTTAAGATACGACATAAGATGATCCTTTTGTTACGAACAATATCTTGGCTATTTATATGTTTTCACTGATATATGATATGCTATGTATTTGCTACTATTGCTACTAATAATGACGGCGCTATAGATGACGTTAAGGAGTGGATGACGGTGCTGTTGCTGGCGTCGGGCATTCTGCTTGCTGCGGATTGATTGGTGGCTTGCTTACATCACCCACGTCACTTTAAATTGTTGATGACGAATATAAATTTTTCGTGGAATTCATTGCTTGAGGAACTACGCTGCAGTCTCCCAATCCCTCAGCATTCATTGCGAATCTTTTTTTTTTCTTATTTTTACTTGAGGACCTCTGTGTTCGGTGCGTCCTGCAAAATGTCCGAGTGATGGTGTGGAATAACTGGTGACACTGCGGTCTCCCAGTCCCTCAGCATTCATTGCGAATCTTTTTTTTTCTTATTTTTACTTGAGGACCTCTGTGTTCGGTGCGTCCTGCAAAATGTCCGAGTGATGGTGTGGAATAACTGGTGACACTGCGGTCCCAGTCCCTCAGCATTCATTGCGAATCTTGTATATTTCTTGATATCCATATGCTGCTCGTCACAATTGCGGTCCTCTTGATCTAGTGTGCTGCTACTAGGTATCGTATATCTTCGCCGCATATCATAGCAACGTAACACCATTGAAGAGTTGAATATCGAACTCGTTGGTCTGTGGAGATGGTTTCTTTTCTACTGGTAGCTGTTGTTGGCATATGCGAGAATAGTGTTATATCTAAAGGTATCATCGAATGATATACCATGCGTAGGTGCTATTATATCATATGTAGCCGGCGTAAACACTCATTTCACTCAAACATATGGACTCTTCATATAGTGTAGGATTCAAATGATGATGAAAATTGGTTTGCTGGTCGATTGATACAATCAAGCAAGCCGTGCAAGGGGCAGAGGACAAGGAATTGAAAACCAAAGGAATACAATATGATGAACAAGTATTTTTTTATCGAATTTATCAATAGTTATTTTTTATATTCAAAGTTACAGCATCATTTTATTTTGCTTATATCATTGTAGTATAGCTCGTATGGTCCTGGGAACGTCCTAGGAACAATGGTTCTGCAGTAAAACTTACACCGAGCTAAATTTGCGGCGCCCAGTATTCCGCCCTAGTAATATTCTGGGGAAGAACTATAACAATAAACGACATAGAGACTTGATAAGCTATTTGGGAGCAGCATGAAATAAAAAATACGTTTGACAATGGTGATGGTGCCCGAGCAATTCTTCTAGGACTATTGCGCTAATGGTGATGCACCGAGAGAGTCTGGTGTTGATGATGAGATAGTTGTTGTTACTGATGACGGGTCAGCTACTGCTGTTGATGATGGTAACGAGTTCTGCAGGTCTTCTTGTACTATGGATTGGAGGGCAAATGGAGGTGGTGACGGTGTGCTAGCAGGTAATGCCGAATATCCTCTGCTTGATGACAACAATTCTGCGTTCATCGTTTAACAGATGCCTTCGCTGATTGCTTTGCTACGCGTGTCAATCGTCTCTCATTCCATCGCTCGTAATGCATTTAGATGATCTGGTGTCTTGTAAAATACTGTTACTCCAT